ACATGCATACACACAAACATACACATACATACAAACACACACATACATACACACAAACACATACACAATACACACACACATACATACAGACACACACATACATACACACAAACACATACAGACACATACATACACACATACATACAGACACACAGACATACACATAAACACATACACACATAGTCATGACCCGGCTTTGCCCGGGACTTGTATCCACCACGCCCGGCCGCCTTTGTCTCCCCAGTGGCGATGTTAATACGCCACACCAGTTACTCGTTTTGAGGCTGAGTCCCTCCCTCGCCACTCTGCCTCCCTCGCCACTCTGCCTCCCTCGCCACTCTGTAGAGGACGTGAAATTTGTATGAATTTACCGCAGAGTGGCGTGTTGGGTGTCGAGGCCTAGCACCGTGCAGAGCCTCCCGCCTTGCCTGATTTTCCCACCCGGCGAACGCTGGGTACGGGTGCCGGTCCCCCCCCCCCCCCCCGCGCTATTAAAAATGGCGTCCACCCCGCGGAAAAAGTTGCTACTCGTTGCCAGGGGCAACCGCCGTCCAATGAAAGCGGCGAAGGCGTGGCTAGCCGTTGCCAGGGGCAACCGCCGTCCAATGAAAGTGCAGTCCACACACACACACACAGACACACAGACATGAACGATTTTATATATATAGATTATGAACGAACGTACACTGCACATTTAAATTCTTCATCATTCCAATTTCTGTGCTGATACTTAAGACTTGCTCTTCAGGAGGTTTTTGCATTATGATGTTTGGCAAATACCATGAATGAGTGGTAAACTGGAGTACCTAGCAATAACCCATACGATGGGATAACCCTGACAGTTCCCGGCGTATTCAAGCCACACACAAAACAGAGTGAACACAATTTATTATAACGTGGACTAAGTCCATCGCTGTACTGCCATCTTCTGGTCACTGGTGGTCACCATTCCAAATTCTAAGTAGGCTCGATCCTGCTTAAGCTTCAGAAATCTGACAAAATTGGGTGCATGCAGGGCCATTTGGTCGTAGGCTATGAACACTTTCCCATTCCGATGACGTACGTGTTGTGTTCCGATGATGTACACGTATGAATGGAAAGAAAAACGAAAATAACTTTCTCAAACCGAGGCTCGCAAAAGGGCATGCGAGAGGGGGGAGTGTGGCACAGTTTGGCGCCAGCTATCATAAGAGTGCGGTCGTGTCACTACAGTTCTCTGCGGTGAGCGCAATCTCTTTAAAAACAACGTTTGCTATGTCACTTTGAATAAAATTAGCGATGAACCGCTTGCGCGCTCTGAGATTCAGCGGTGAGAATGGGACACCCTCCCTGCAACTTGCGGTCGTCTCAGAACGGGAAAGGGTCAAGTGGGGATGAGTATCAAGGGTTAAAGATCACCCTCTCCCCCTTCTCCCTCTCCCTTCTCATCTCCCTTCTCATCTCCCTTCTCATCTCCCTTCTCCTTTCTCCGCTCCATTCTCATCTTCCTTAAAATCTCCCTTCTCATCTCCCTCTACTCCCCTTCACTCGCCCGCCACTCCAGCAACAAAGGCTCTTATGCCGAAGCTCCTCGTCAACCTTCACTCAGCGGGAGGTTGCGCATTCTTCTCCGCTGCCCCCATTGTTTGGGACCACCTCTCCCTGGCCGTCCATGCTGTCGATGGCCTGCCCATCCTCATCTCCTCTGCCTGTGACTGACTGCCTCTTATCTAAAATATATACATATATTTATGAAATCAACTAATATCTCGTATATGCTTTCCTTTTCCCGGTGATGGACGTGTCCCAGGTGATTTGGTCATAGGCACCAAATCTCGCTCAGAAAGCGTCCAATCTCGTCAGACCTCGGAAGCTCATCAGGGTTTTGAGCCTGGGTAGCGCCTGCTTGGGTGACCCACAATGCACAGCAGGTCGTCGTAGACTGCTCGCCTATGTGGTAGGCAACAGTGGACAATCCAGAAAATTCCATTGCTGTACTATACTTCTATTGCCCCCCCCCCCACCCCGCATTCTGCTTTCACCAATCCGCATTGACCTACTGTGGTGGGGAGAATGCTCAAATAGCCCCCACGACCCACCCAGTGTAGGGCGGCCCCCTATCAAGGAGTGGATTGGCAAGGGGTTTGCACACGTCCCACTCGTTTGTATGATGTCTTGATGATGCAGTTGTGATTTAGAAGATTGTACAAATCAAAACTGTATTGTGGGGGGGGGGGGGGCTGGCAAGATCGAGAAGGGGGGGTGGGGGGGGGCTGGGAAGACCGAGAATGTTTTGTTGTTGTTTTGGCTGCCTTGCCAAATCTTTATAGATCGTGCTTATGTAATGAAATATTTCGTTACTTATCTATATTCAGCGACTTGCTTACCATTTTCTCTACTTTGCACTCCTATCGTGTGTCTTTGTCGTACTGTTTGCTGTTGTAACGTTGTGGACCCACCCGCACCGGACGTGTGCAAGAGAGAAGAGCTTCATAAGATCATCGGATCTCTCCGGCAGCCTAAATAAAGATTCTGATTTCTGAGATGGCATCGATGCATCCGTTCCATGTAAGTAAATAAAAAATAAACGTACAAAACTCAGCGGACAAAACACAATTGACACTTGCACACATCCCACACTGTGAAACGTCCTCCGTGCGTTTAGTCGAAGCCACGTGGGGTCGCGGAATAGCGGCTGATCTCTCGTCCAGTTCACGTGGATGGCACGAATGGCTTTCCCGTTTGCTGACGATGCACGTCCAGATTAATCTGTCTGCCGCCAGAGAGCCAAAGGCACGTGGGGCGCCGTGATAACACGACAAAACGACAAATATCACTACAGTATTGGAGCAGAGGCTCAGAAAGCCGAATTATCCACCTTGAGGATGATTCTTAGGGTTTAGTGTCATTGCCTGTGGCTGAAAGGAACAGACTAAGGCATCTTTAGGTTATTAGAGTTCAGTGTTAATGCCCGAAATTCAGAGAGCCAGACAAACGGCACACCTTATGATTATTATGGTTCAGTGTTTATGCCAAACTAAGGCGTCTTTAGGGTTCTTGGGAGTTTAGTCTCAATATTCCCCAGGCTCATAGAGACTATTTCGAACACGGTACAGCCACGGAGAACAACGCAGCTTCATCTAAACCTCAGGTGAGAGTTGTTTTTTTTCCTCCAGGAGAGCTCTGCTCTGCTCTCCTCTTCTCTGCTCCTTTTCTCCTCCTCACTCTTTCATTCTGCTCCCCCCCCTCCCCACCCCGCCCTGCGGCACAGTCGCCCCCGAGCCACAAGCCCATTACCGGCGCTATCCACGGTCAAACGACACAGACCCCTGCACCCTTTCTACACGTAAGGAAATCTGGCAGCCGGGGCCGCATGGATCGTGGGACGCGGACGGGGGAGCACGTAGCCACGACGGCACAGCACGAACTCGCCGAGCGCGCGCCGAGAGCGGGACCCCAGCCAGCGAGCGGCTCGCCGGCTTCACGTTCAGACGCGACGATTTTTCGTGGAACACGAATCGCTCTCCTTCTCTATCTCACGCTCCACGTGCTCAGGCTGCCCTGGGCTCGCGTTTGCTAACCAGCCACGTGCGGGGAGCTGGTATCCCCTCCCCACGTGTCGAGCCGATGTTCCACGCAGCGAGCGGAGTTGACCACCATACGACACGCGCTGGGCTGGCTCAACTCTAAGGCCCACTGAGCTGTAAAGTTATTTTTCAGAAGTGATCTGCCTATCACAAATGATAGCTCAACGAAATGGCTTATCACGTGAAAATGTATCGCAGCCAAATACTCTAAACGCATGATGTTGATTCTAACTGCGGAGGGAAAAACCGGAGGACCCGGAGAAAAATCCTCGCGGCCACAGGGAGAAGAACACGCAAACTCAAAATATACAGTAGGCATCAAGGTCGGGATCGAACCCACGCCCTCCTGCATACCAGGCGAGGTAGTTAACATCTCCTAGCCACCGTGTTTGCCGCGAGTGCCACATGCACAGGGAACATTCGGCGTTCCCCCTTTGACTGACCTGCCACGTGTACGCCAATCCTGCCATGTGCTGGGCTGAGCTGCCACGTGCACAGCAGCAACAATAGCCACCGTTGGCCATGAAGAGATGATGATATCACTCACAGCTTTGGTGAGGCTAGGTGCACTTTGAGGCCACGTGAAGTGTGGAAGGCTCACTGCTGGCAGGAGGTTATGGCATCAAACAGACCCAGGTGTTACGAGTTAAGACTTAGATGCACTCACTACCCCGCGTTTTAACTGCACACAAAGCACTAAATGCACGTAGACCAAGATCCCCCGTATAACCCACACAGGCTGTTGGGGAAAGTGCAGTAAGCGAACACCTATGAAGATCGGCACAGCACATGAGGGGGTGGGTGGCCAGCACCATTCCCGGTCGACTTTGTCTCGACGAGCAGCGATGTTTACACACCGCACCAGGTACTCATTTGAGACTGAGTCGACCTAGGAGAGGCCCAGGACCGGTTCAGATAATCGTCACCGGCGTTGGTCGTGAGCGGGAATCGAACTCGGCTCGCCCGGTTCGTAGTGCCGCGCGCTAACCGCTACACTATCACTCCCCATATAACTATATATACACACCATACACAAACACACAAAGGCAAACACTATATACACAGGTTGCAAAAAATTCCCATACATTGGCTGTTGGAGTGAGAGTGCTATTTGTGAGCACCTATTAAGGCAGCTACACTGACACACCAGAATGCAAAGACCAAGGAGAGGCCCATGACCGGTTCATATAATCGTCACCAGTGTTGGTGCCCGTGAGTGGGAATAAAACTCAGGTCGCCGGATTCGTAGCGCGGCTCGCTAACTGCTCCCCGCACAGGGGCGCACATGCACATGGCCGCCGTCACGTGCGCAGCGTGCGGCAGTGTGCGACAGCGGCGAGTGCACCTCCGATTAGCACGGTTGGTCATGTACGGTGCGAAGGAAGTTCAACGCACGCACGCAGGCGCAGCATCCCTGCCGTGTGCCGGGCCCACCTGCCATGGAGGCGTAGAAGTCCTGGAAGGTGGTGACCTCGCGGCCGCCCTCGCACGCGCTCGCGCAGTCGTGGAAGGCGTGGAGGTAGCCGGCGAGGGCGCGCTCCATCTTCTCCACGCACGCCAGGTGATCGCCCGTGCCGTAGGCGCGCACTGCCTCGCGGTACAGCGTCTGAGCGGCCACGGAGGGGAATTTAGAAAAAGAATGAACGCCGCAGCATTACGAGACGGCAGGGTGCATTAGCAGAAGTAATAATAATCTAACATTTCGATTTAAAGCTTTCGTGACTGCAAGGATTCATATTCTTGGTTCTTTCGGTAAAGTCCCCTAGAAGGGAAATAAAAAAATAATAAAAATAAAAACATTATATAAGTAAATTCTCACAATGGTTGCTTGCGTTGTGGCCTAAACGTCGTGAGAATTTTGTTATATTATGTTTTTATTTTAATTATTTTACTATTTCCCTTCTACGTGACTTTACTGAAAGAACCAAGAATATGAATCGCAATCATTTACATTTTCGAAGTGGCACATTCATCTGGAGATCCAAGTGCGCCACTGTGCATCGAAAGCAGGGAATACACTGAAGCTGCAGGGTTAACGGCCAGAACTAGCGGGTACAGGCCAGTTCGAAGAGGTGAGGTTTTCAAGACGGGAATTAAATATGTTGGAACGACTCCGATTGTCCTTATCGTCAAAGCATTCCAAAGCTGCTTGATAAGTGGCACAGGCCCTGGTAATGCTTTGCTCACATTTGAATCCTGGTCGTGCTAATCAGTGGCGAACATTTTATTTTATTCTGGTCTAAGCGACTCCTAAGTTGACTCGGCCTAAAATAAGTATTGAGTGCGGTTTAGCAAGGTCAGCTGTGGGCTGAGATCGGAGTGGTTGGGTGTGTGGGCGGTGCTATCCACTCCCCGAGTTCAGTGTCGTCCCAACAGCTCCTGCCTCCACAGAGGGGTCTGTTTTTTATTCATGTGGAGCTCTGCCTCGCTCAGCACATGTAAACGTAATTGTACCTTCCTGAAGACATGTGCAAGTGGGAGAGCATGTGCGCGTGGATGGGTGTGTGCGCATGTGTGGGCAGAGGAACGACGCTCACAACAACGAGCGGAGCGCCTGGGTGGCTAAAGCACAGCAGGTTGGCACAGTAAGGGGCACAGGTGGTGCATCAGCCAGTCATCTCAGTCAACCCATGGCACCTGGGTCTGTCCCGTGACCTCCTGCCAGCGGGCGTTCGACACTTCACATGGCCTTAACGTGCACATAGCCTGGCACAAGCGTCGTGGTGATGTCACTGCCACTTAGTGGTGAATGGCGGTTGTTGTTGTTGTCTGTGTATGGTAGTCGGGAGCAGTTCGTGTGGCGATTCGCGCACTGCGCTACATAACCAGTAACCCAAGTTCAATTCCCACTCACGGCCAACACCAGTGACGAATATCTGAACCGGTCCTGGGCCTCCCCTAGGTCAACTCCGGCTCAAATGAGTATCTGGTGCGCTTTGTAAACGTCGCCACTGGGGTGACAAAGACGGCCGGGCGTGGTGTTGGCCACCCAACCCCTCGTGTGCCGTGCCGGCCTTCACAGGTGCTCGCTAACAGCACTTGCCCCTACAGTCTGTTTAAAGGCTATATGGGGGGAATCTTTGTCCATTGTGTTTGTGTGTCCATGCGTACGTGCCAATGTGCACATGCTCCAGGACAACACGTGTGTGCATGGGCACGTGCGTGCCTGCACGCCTCTCGCACATGCAGACTTCTCAAATGCGCGCAGCCAAAGAAAACCAGGGCGAGCATTTGCCCTCGCGAGCAGATTAAATTAATTCTCAAAAAAGGCGCACATGTTATTCCGTTACTTTAAAGAAAAAGTAAAAACAATTTACAGTCCGTTGGTCAATCCACTGCTAAATGAAGGCATCCATATGCTGCTTCAGTCTTGGAGGCGGAGGGAGGGGGGTTGACCATACTTCACCACGCTGGTCAAGTGTAGGTTGGTGAACGAGCCTGTGGGGGAGGGGGGGGGACCTAGAACCGATGAGATATCACTGGCCGCTGATGTCAGCCATGGCCGGGTATCAAACTTGGTCTCCGGGTTTCATCATTGGAGCGCGTTTACCACTGCACCACCACTCCCCTCGTGGGAAGAGATAGTCTACGAGCCCGGACCGGGTACTTCACTTGTCGGTGCAACCCTGAGGTGGCATGGCTCGAGTGCTTCCAATTACGATTTCAAGTTGTCGTGACTGCAGGGATTCATCTTCTTGGTTCTTTCGGTAAAGTCACGTAGAATGGAAATAATAAAATAATAAAAATAAAACATAATAAAATTATTCTCAGGACGTTTCGGCCACAACGCAAGCAGCCGTCCTCAGGTGAAGAACAGGTTTGTCGAGGAAACAGACTCTGTCTTCTCGACAGACCTGTTCTGAGGACGGCTGCTCGCGTTGTGGCCGAAACGTCGTGAGAATTCTTTTATTATGTTTTATTTTTATTATTTTATTATTTCCATTCTACGTGACTTTACCGAAAGAATCAAGAAGATGCTTCCAATTATTTCACGTGGTCAACACCGGTGAATTATGTGATAGCCGTTTGGAATTTAGTCGAGTTATTAAATAATTCACTCTCCTTTAGCCGTATTAATAACCGTGTACCGCTATGTGCTGCTACCTTAGGTGATTACCAATTCTGCCCCTGGCCCCATTGGCGTGATAAGAGAGGAACAAGAAGCGAAGGATGAATGTGCGGCCGGTGTAAATCACGAGCGTGGAGCAGATGGCCAGTGAAGAGCCAAGGAGGAGACGGGGAGGGCCCAGGAATGCAAAGAGCCCTGCAGGAAGTGGGGAGGGTAGAAGCCAAGACGGGAAGTGGGATGGCCCAGAGGAGGAGAAAAGTAGGCAGTGAGAAGAATGAGTCGCTGGTTGAGCCGATGCAAGGAGGACACGGCCAGGAAAGGGGGGGGGGTGGTGCAGGGTCAGGGCTACGTGGAGGATGAGGGCGGGAGGGGGAGAGGCTCGGCCATGTCGCCGCCGTGTGGTTTGTGTACTTGCGCCTGTGGTCTGTGTTAAACAGCTGTTGGGGAACCGGTCCACTACATGACAACGTTGTTCCTATTAAATCGTTGGCAAATCAGGGGGGGGGGGGGGGGCTCGTTTTCTTTGCTCGGCATGGCCGGCCTCGCTGTGCCGACAAACAACAGCGGGGTCAATCTGACGTGCGCAAGCAGAAGAGGCCTATATTGATTCTAGATTTGAAGCTTTCGTGACTGCAAGGATTCATATTCTTAGGTTTTTTCGGTAAAGTCACGTAGGTACAAAAAATAAATTAATAAAAGTAAAATGAAAATCACGACGTTTCGGAGGCAACACAAGCTTCCTGTCTTCAGGTGGAACCGTCACAGCCACGACAGCTGTATCACGTAAATGAGAGATTACAAGAGCTCCCACTCCGTATATATAATGGTTGAAGAGGGGAAGGGCCAAGTACGGCACACTTTTTATTAGGCCTATATTGCTTGTGGTCAACAAAGCAATACTGCTGGAGTGTGTTCAAACAAATCTGCACGATCAATACGGGTGCGGGAAGGCCTTCATCTAACGTTGAACTGACCGTGCGCCGTCAATGATCACTTTATTCATTCCTCACGCTGCATCGGAATAAAGTGCCACACATTGCACAGTGTGCCAGTGTTAATGAGACCTCAACTGCTACCAATTAGCGATAATTTTCTTCAAACCGTACCTTTATATATGTTTTAATCCTTTAAAACTGTGACTGTTCATTACTAAGCCCTCTAAGAATTCTGCAACGAACAAAAGTGAATTAATAACAAAATATTTATACGATCGTGTTTCAACGGTAACCGGCACGCGCCGAAATTTCACACAAGACGCCTCCTCAGAGGTTCTGGCGATTCCCCACACAGAGCCACTGTGGCCCAGAGGTCGCAACCGGGTACCCGATACCCGTACCCTACCCGATACCCGGCTACCCGTACCCGGCCGGGTACGGGTACGGGTACCCGTTTGCGACCCTGGTGCGGCCGGGTACGGGTAGACCGTGAGTCACTGATGAGTAACTGTTTGTCACTCATTTCCCAACGTCTTGTCTCTTCTCACAATTCAAGTTCCTAAAATCAACCCACCCGCGCCTGCAACATGGCTTCATCCCAGAGGTCGCAATCAGGTACCCGATACCCGTACCCTACCCGTACCCGGCCTGGTACGGGTAGGGTACGGGTACGGCCGGGTACGGGTACGGGTACCCGTTTGCGACCCTGGTGTGGCCGGGTACGGGTACGGGTAAGGAATCAAAGCCCGTTTGCGACCTCTGCTGTGGCCCCCCCAAGACCTCAATGCAGCCTCACAGTCAATCAGAGAGTTGCCTCGAGTGATACGGGGTCACGGACGTCGAGCAAACAGCACGCCGACGCCACCACTGCCACTCTCAAGACAGCCCCACTTTCATCGAGGCACCTTCGTCCGTGGGGCTCGCTCTATCCCTACCTCCTATCCCCACCCCCCCCCCCCCAAGTTTCCGTTAGCATCATAAATCACAGTGGGCACGTTTTAAAATAAGTCAAAAAAATATCCCAAAGTGCCGCGATTGTGAAAAGGGGCAGTGAGTGAGAGGCCCCGTTTTTTGACACGCAAGGTCTCCCGCATTGCCCATTTGCACACCGGGTGGCACAAACCGCGCCTTTGTGCTACGTCCACTTACATCAGGCTGGAACCCAATTATAGGGTGGTAATCTGAGAGGTGGGAGCGAGGTAATGAAAGGGGGTTATCAAAAAATATTTTTTACAAGGATGTGGTAATTATGATATTAATTATTAAATATCCCGCGTGCCTTCGCTCGTACACTGCAGCATTTGTGCTAACTACACACGGGATATATGGGGTGTGTGTGTGTGTAGTACATGTACATGTATGGCCCTTTGTCAATCCACTGCTGGATGAGGGCCTCTCCAAGCCGTAAATATAATGTGGGTCAATTGACATTTCACCATGATGGTCAACACGTGAGATGGTAAAGGCAGGGTGCAGAGACGTGGAAGCAACACAGTACAGTACAACATTGCACTGCCTTCTGCAGCCCACAATGTACGCCCTCCAAACTACAAATAAGCGGGCTCATAAGTGACACCAGAAATGTTTGCACGCGTGGTGGAATCACTTGCGATGATTGATTTGAACTCAAAAGTTGGCTCGCTTTGTCACCGGCCGCTCACACGCTGGCGAATGGCACCACAAGACCGCTATTCACCCGCACCGGAGCCCAGTTACTCTCCGCGTAATGTCGCGCACATTTGGTGGCCGGCGATGCGGTCGCAGCTCCACATTTGGTGGCCGGCGGTGCGTTCGCGGCTCTCGTGCGCTTTCGACACAAAGGCGACAAATAACGTGCAAAGCACCCCAGAAGAATAATCGGCGACCCACGTGCCGCGCCACGCACTCCGCCGCTTGCCGGTAACCTGGAAGGGATCGGCTTCCAGGTCTCGCAGGTGCTTCTCGCTTGCGCCGGGCTGTGTCCAGAAGAAGTGCAGGTTCTTCTGTGCCATCTCGTCCTCGGGGTTCCGCTGCAGGAAGGTGTACGCCGCCGCCATGGCTGCTGGGAGGTTGTCCGTCTGCGGCGGGAGACATTGCGCGGAGGATATATAATTCGCGCGAGCAACTGCCATCGCCGCCCGGTGTTACAGCCGCCGGTAAAAGTCCGCTGGACAAAAGTCAGTTGCAGCGATTTCCTCGAAAATGCACTGTGGTAAGACACGGTCGTAAAGTGGATTCTATTGGCAGCAATGGTATTCTGCTAAATGCTTGCAGATATGGTTATGTGCCTATCTGCTAGATGTGGAGGGATTTTTACGAGGTGGGCAACGATTATTTATTGTCACGATCCATGCCGCAATGCAAATCAACGTTAATTTTGGTCTAATTTTTGTCTGTCTTGTCCCGATAGTTTTGTACGCTCCATTCGCCTAAATAAGTCTATTTAATGTTCTTGTAACTTAATTTGCAATTGGACTATGACGAGTCTAAAAGTAATCTGCCCGAGGCCAACTTACTCTCTAGGGAATGTGTTAACGTTGATTTATGTTTGAGCAATGATTTCAATTTCTCGTGTGATGCAGTTGTTTGGCTCTGATGTTCATTTCCTTCATTGCTGTACTCATTGCTGAATTTACTTGTTTTCATTTTGTCATTTATAGTAACCCAGGGCACTCTTGCCAGAGGTGGGACAAAGTCATTGTTATGCAAGTCCAAGTCGAGTCTGAAGTCATCAAATTCATGACTCGAGTCTGACTCGAGTCCAAGTCACATGACTCGAGTCCACACCTCAGAGGTGGGACAAAGTCATTGTTATGCAAGTCCAAGTCGAGTCTGAAGTCATCAAATTCATGACTCGAGTCTGACTCGAGTCCAAGTCACATGACTCGAGTCCACACCTCTGACTCTTGCAAATTAGACTTCACTGGTATCGTGTTCTCACCTGGTTAAACAAATAAACTTTAACTTGCAAGTGTAATTCATTTCTGCCAATATTAATACCTAGTCAAATTCTCACACACTTGGTTCAATCAATTCTAAATCTATTTCAATTGAGGCCTTCTTAGATGCGTAGTCCTTATATCCGGCGTGGCATTGCATCAGGCTTCTCCACTGGTGGCCCAGACTACTGGCTGCATCATTGAGCCAGCATGTGCTGCAGGTAGTGTTTTATATTTTACAACCGAATGGGGAGATTGGCTGCAAATCAATAACATTTACTGCGTGGTTTGAGAGGTCATAAGATGCCACAACCAGACATAATTGTTTAATGCCTACATAACAAGTTTCTTATTCCTATTTAACAGTATTATTGTTGGTGTGTTTGCAAAATAGCATGGGGGCAGTGGGGCGGGGGTGGGGGAATAGCGGGCTTGTGGTGCTAACACAACATAACCACAGTTTAATGAAAACACTCTCTTAAGATTCAGCGAATTACACGGTAAGAAGGCACTTGTGGTGGACTATCAAGAGAGTGTGTGGGTATGGAAACATTATAACGAGGCTTCCAGTGGTAACAAGCACACAAACTCCCGGCCTTCATAACAAACAGCACTGGCGCGCTATGTGTGCCATTCATTTACAATTGTTTGTTCACCTGCCTGGACAAGGCCTCTCCAGCCTTTCACAGCTTGACTAAGAGGCCAGCCAGGGCACAGGACAAGAAGTCACCGCAAGACATTCCTTTACACACACCCAATTGCTAGTATTTACAGGCCTCACCTGATTAAATATGTCTGAACTCTCTCCTGAGGCCCTCTCGTCTTGGTCAGCAGACCTCGACATTGGCAATTAGTTCCTGAACATGTTACCATAGGCAAGTAACTTGCAGCCTGCTGCAGGGCTATACTGCCAGAAGGCAGTTGTACTGCATGTACAATGCTCCAGTTCCGATACTCCCTGCCTTCACCAATCCGCACTGACCAACGCGGTGAAGTATGGTCATCATTCCCATGACCTGCACTCCGCACGGCATGGGTGGGACCTCATCCAGCAGCAGGTTGACAAAATAGGCTGTCCGTGTACTGTACACTAAACTTTAAATGAATATACATTCAGCAAGTACACTGCTAATTAGTGATTAAAGTCATTATAATGGTATTACTGTGCAGTCAAATATATGTGTAGTAGTTAATTCTAAATTATAATGCTGTCTGTGGTTTTAACCCATAAAGGACATTCAATTATATAAATATTAAATAGAACTCGTGTCTAACGTGGGGTTGAGCGGTGGCGAGATGGGTAGTGCAATGCCCTATCAACCCAGCGACCTGTTTGATTCCTGGCCACAGCTAACAGTGGCAAAGTGGTATCTGAACCAATCCTGCCCACCCCCCCCCTCCCACAACCTCCCCAGTTTACCAACCTGAACTGACCAGCGTGGAGAAGTATGGTAAAACGACCCTCATGACTGACACGGCTATGGAGAAGTCTCCATCCAGCAGTGGGTTGTACAGAAGGTAATGTAAATCGTTATTTAACGTGGCATTTGTTGCAAGTCACTGAAAAAACAGAGTGCAACTTTTACATATTTTCTTCATCTGCTGCGTTGAATAGCAGAAGATCCCATGGTCACAAGGTCCATTCCCATCTTTCAGATCATTAAACATGTATACTTGAACTTTTTGCCCCCAAAAGTGTATATTTATATTATTTGGGTCTTTCGATAAAGTCACGTCGATATGTTCAAAGAAAATAACAAAAATAACAACCTATCTACGTGACTTTACCAAAAGACCCCAAAAATATGAATTCCTGCAGTCACGAAAGCTTTAGTGTCTATTTATGTCTCACTTGATGTCTCTCCATCCCCTAGGTCTCTCTGTGGATGCATCTCTATGCCACTTCCCCTCTATGTTCCAGTGTCTGCCTGTGATCTCTCCATGTGTCTCTCAGATTGTCTGTGCACCCTCTGTCTTTATCTCTGCATATACATTTGTCATTGGTCCTGGCCATCTCACCCCACGTGTCTCTCTGTTTCTCTACGCGTTTATGAATCATTGTCTCTTTCCATCTCTCCATGTATCTCTCTCCATCCACATCTGTCTCTCTCATTGCATGCCTCTCTATCTCCGCGTCTCTTTCCCTTGTGCATTTCATTTTCTCGCTCTGCAACCACCAATCTCCCCGTCAGCACAGGGCCCCACCGAACAGCTGGCCAACAACACAGCGCTCACAAAGCCAACTCTGCCACCACCGCACCCTTCACACAGATGTACCTTGTAGTACGCAATCTGCAGGTACTGGTAGGGCGCCCTGCGGTCAAAGTCGGCCAGCATCTGCGGCGACGGCTGTGCCGCACGGAAGGCGGGCAGCATCTCCCGGCACCGCTTGAGACACTGCGCCCTGCGGAACACGACGCCCAGCGCCCTCATCTCCCCCTCGACGGCACCACCCTGGGGGGGGGAGCCGGGCCGAGCGCCCAGTCCCAGCTCCATGGGCAGGGATTGGGGCCCCTGGCCCGGCGTGGCGCGGCTGCAGTTGCGGCGGCAGAAGGCGAGGCTGTCACGCACGAAGCGGTGGAGACGCAGGGCTCGCTCCAGGGAGCTCAGGCACGCTCCCCACTGCTCCGCCTCGTACTGCCGCAGGGCCAGGGCGTACGCCGCGTCCAACGAGCCCAGCTCGGCGCCCGGGAAGTTCAAGAAGTTGTAGTTCTCGTACTGGGAGCGCACGGGAGCTGGCAGCACCAGCAGCAGCAGCAGCAGTGGCAGAGAGGCGAGGAGCAGCTGGGGCAGCGGCGATGAAGTAGGACGAGTGGAGAGACGTGCCATGGCTAAGGTGTCACTCGTTGTCACGTGTTCCTCAACCACCTGAACAAGGTGCTCAGTTGCTGGAGGGTCCCCACACCTGGAATATCTGGCCAATGTCGAGGCGTTGGAGTGTCCCAAGATCTGGAATATCTCACCAAAAAAGTTCACGCACTCGAGTGTGCCTGTCTACGTTCTAGGATATCTGACTAAAATTGTCAGAAATTGTAGTGTCTCAAAATCTAAAATGCCTGATCAAAATTCTCACCCACCCAAGTGTCTACATCTATTCTATATCTAACCAATATTCAAACACTGCAGTGAATTTATGAGTATGTGTTTCCTTACTACACACTTTTTCGAAAGTAATATGCCTCAATTAAATACAGTATTACAATTGCGATATCAACGTTTTACATTTCAAATAAAGGCCACTTAACGAAACAAAACAATGAATGTTTTTACCTAAATCACTGCAATATTCTCGTGCAAAAAGAACTGTTAATTGTATTTGTAACTTTCAGTGAGATGGACTTTCACAGCAAAACCTACAATGCACCACAGTACTAGATTATATTAAATATGTTTAGTGTTCATGCCATACGGGCATATACCATACAATGCACGTTATACTATGCCGTGGACAGTGTAATAACCTCTAACGATATAATTATGTATTGTTCCAGGACAAACTCTATTGGACATATGCTGGAAAACTATATACGTAATGCACTCGAAAGCCCTTGTACAATACAGCCACACACAGTACTATTAAACAAAAGCATGACTTAATTGCAGCATATACTGCCTAAAGTCCTTCGTGAAGTCTATGCATCGGTTACACAAATCAATCTTCGTCTAAGCAAAGTTCCTCCTCTGAAAAACAATATGCGAATGTACACTCGGGTCACGCAGAGTGTGTACCAAAAAAATGCTTATGCCCTATCTGGGCTGCCTGATCCCCTGTGGCTGGCTGTACGCACACTGCAACCCACCCAAACGAGCAAAAAAAGGACCGAACAATTTATGTTGACAGCCCACCGATACCTCCACAGTCCTGACCGGCTGGCCTTGTCGGGGTGGGAGGGGGTTTTTGCTGCCACAGCTGCACGACACACACAACACACAAAGAGATGACGGTGACGATAATGAGGCTGAGATAAGCAAAGCTGATGGTCGGTGTTGCGTTGAACTTCGTGGCCGCCGTGAGTTTGGAGTGGAAGAGCCCCAGTGTTGCTGGAAGGAGGCGCAACTTTGTGTGGGTGGGTGGGGTGGGTGGGTGTACCCAGATCAGACGAGGTGGATGGAAGGAGGGGATCAGGGGCGGAGTTGCCGTGATGGATTTGCTTCGCGAGAGCCGTTCGGGAAACAGCGCCTCTGGCTCTATAGTGGTTGGAGCCGCATTCTTGTCCTCTTTCTCGCCGAGATGGCCTGGGGATTTCGGGTTAGGGTTTGGTTCCTACTGTAGGGTTGTGAGTGGAAAATGCAGGGGGTGGGTTTGTGTGTGGGGGGGGGGTTAATTTCAAGGCTGACAAAGCGCACGTGTTCGCCAAGGGGTGGGGAACGCTCTCCTTTCAAATGGAAAAAAAATGGAACGTCACGGCCACTCCGCAAACAATTCCAGAACTTTCTTGTTAAGGACAGTAGTAGGATCCCTGCTATTATTTCCATTTAACCTGCCCTTTGTTGTATAATAATATACATTGAATCACAACCTTTAATTGCACTTTCCATCTAATGTCTTTAATTCAAATTTTTTTAAATTTTTACGTCCCTTTAATATCAATTTGGTTTTAATTTTATGATTTTTCTTATTATTGTGTTAATTAAATTTGGTGTAGTTGAATAGGCTGAATATATTGGCAATTTGTTGTTTGCACCAAATCTCCCTAAAACGAGAGATTTCATCTCACTGGGCTCTCACTAAGTTGTGAATATGGGATATTAATGTAACTTTATACATTGTAGTACAGTATTAGTTCTTCAAGACGAAGCACATTTCCTGGAGAAAAAACCGTGATGGTTGTTTGGCCTCACATGCTGCTTTATATTCGTGGAAACATCTGCAAGAAACATCACAAAGCGATTATTTCGTTTCAGAAATTCTGCAATTAATGTCAAAATAAAAGAGCAAGTTCTGGCTCAAAGCTTGACTGGACTTGCGCCCACACAATGCCACATTAGACAATGAATTGTGGATTACATATCCCCATGCAAGCGTGCAACCAACCCCATGCACGAATTTCGATGGGTAGAACGATCATGCTGAGTAGATTATAATGCATGAAGATCTTGGAACGAAACATCGGACATACCGAACAACACGCCGTATAACCTCCAACACATCAAAGTGACCCATATCTGACTTTTTCGTCTATTTAATTGTCGTTTCGGTTATTTACCGTATGTATACTTTGCTCTTGAACAATACTTGCTTTTGGGCTATCAATTAGCATTCCGTCATCATGTAGGGGTATATGTGTAGCGGTAGCTCGTGCTAATTACAGTTATGTGCCGGTGGGTATGCAAACCAGTTTGTACAATCACTTTTGAGACATGGGGCCTTCAGAAGCAAAAATGTAGCCACGTGTCACTACCACCACCACCACCCCTCCCCCAAACTTTCCCATCCATCCCTCCCTCCCTCCCTCCCCCGATCTCTCCCCCCCACTCCATCTCCCCACCCTCGGCTGCGCTGTGGTATGAGGTCTAACACCCCCCTCTTGTCTCGTCTAGTGGCCTGGAAACAAATACTTCGTGGTGCCATTGCAAGTACACTGGGTTTGCAGTATTCGTGTTCGGCTTGAGCGTGCACCCAAAAACGCACTCGTGCGGATGGCCACATGCACTACAATGGACCCCACCTACCCGCAACAAAGGGATGTTTTGTAGCGATGTTGGCATATTGGGAGCCAGGACTAATTCATGACAGATACACCGCGGACAGACGCATACGTGGCAAAGGTTAAAATGCTGATGCAAATTCCTAAACGCAATACTGTATTTTATTAAAGCCATACAGGCTATACGAGACCTACTGATTAGCATATCGTGTAATCCCTTTGGCAATCTACTGCCGGATGGTCACAACAACCAAAATACCTCGTTCCGTGTCGGTCATTTGGTGGTTGTTTGGCCATACTTCACCACGCTGGTAAATGCTTATTGGTAAAGAGAGGTCCACCCGGGGGTCATCACCCCCCCCCCCCCCCCCCCCCATGGCCGGTTAAAAAAATCACTCCCTACTGACTTTTGTCAAGGCGCTTTTCCTCCTCCCTCCCAGCTTAAATAGACGCTCCAAGCCCAGGACGTGTCATTCAGACTCTGTCTTATCGACAGACCTGTTCTTCACCTGAGGACGGCTGCTTGCGTTGTGGCCGAAACGTCGTGAGAATTATTTTATTGTGTTTTATTTTTATTATTTTATTATTTCCATTCTACGTGACTTTACCGAAAGAACCAAGAAGACGTGGCAGGGGTGTTCACGGTGCGCGCTAACCACAGCGCCACCGCTCTGAGCAGGGGCCCGCATGAGTGCCAACACTGAAGGAGACTTTCGCCTCCGTTAGGGCGGTTTCTAAGAGTTTTCGCACTGCGGGAGGAGGGAGGGAGGGAGGAGGGGGCCCACACTTCATTCCGAAAGCCACGCCAAAACCAAAGCAAGGTTCCCCTGCGCGTGGAATGTCCCATCCCAATGCGCTTGCTTGCGCAGACTCTATTACGTTGTTACATACAGTATAGTAGTTTAGAGTTGGGGTTTAAAAAAAAATCTAACTCCATCTTTCCCGGACAGTTTCGTGCTGTCGCAAGCCAAGACGACATGTGCGAGTGATTTACCATCTCGCTGGTTTACGTGGTGAATGTGTGACGCACAAAGGCACACTCTGCGTGTGTTCCGGATATGGAGCAGTAGCAAAACAAAGGCACACTGCTGGATTTAAGGGGCGTTTGAACACTGGAGTATGAACGCGGATTGGCCTAATTACATATTAAGTGTGCAGTATGCTGAAGTACTGTATACGCATGATATAAGCACGACCCCATCGCGAGAAAGGGCAGCTGTGCTTATATCCAAAGTGTGTTTGTATCCGAAGTTCGCCTTCCCACCAGTGTAATTGTATTCGTGTGTATATAAAAAAAAACCAGCGGGCTTACATAAGTTGTGCTTATATCCAGCTTCCCAAATGCCAAGCTTAACCGCTGAATGCAAAGAATTTTTACCCAAAAAAAAAAAATCCACAACCCTGTTCTCCACGCAGCCCGTGGGCGCCTCTCTGTGAATTGTAACCTCAGCCCTTTGCCGCTTCACAGGGAACAGCTGATCATCGGCCAGGGTCATTCCACCGCTGGATGAAGGCCCCCTCCCTCTCCCAACGCTGTCTCGCGACATCTCCACGATCCTTGCGGTGCATCGATCCACTCGGAGCACTCGCACGCGAGCTGATTCCATCGCTCCGTCTCTTCGGTGGTCTCGCTCGCTCGCTCGTTCGCTCGTTCGCTCTCCATCTCAGACGCGTTGCGTTCCTTGACTGCCAACTTCAAGGGTCAAAAGAGTAACCCCCCCACACACACACAAATTAGACAGACGGCCCTTGTTTAGAACCAGAGATTGCTCATTCAGACTAAAGTCTCTTTTTTATTAAGGGAGATCTAAGTGATAACGGTACTGTAATAGCTTTCAACCCATGTGGATCACCCGTATTCTTGTACCGGGAAGTTAGTTTTCAGGTCCATACGGCGTACAGCCGTTTCAATGCGGACAAAAAAAGTGTTTTGTATATGTATTTGTCTTCTTGGTTCTTTCGGTAAAGTCACGTAGAAGGGAAATAATAAAATAATAAAAAGAAAACATAATAGGGGTTATTATGTTTTATTTTTATTATTTTATTATTTCCCTTCTACGTGACTTTACCGAAAGAACCAAGAAGATGAATCCCTGCAGTATCGAAATATGTATTTGTGTTTCTCCCTTGTGATGGCACTTTTGAAGGATGAACGTTGAGATTCATAAGAGCACGGGGTGACCAATAAGGTCTGAGTTACTGTCAGGTCAAACGAATGCTGTATAGCAAAGCAATGCATCAATACAACATAATTCAATCGTGTACAGTCCTTGATCAATCCACTGCCAGATGAAGGCTTCCCCACGCCGTGTTGATCGTGACGACTGTTTGACCATACTTCACCGCGCTGTGTTGGTCGTGACGACTGTTTGACCATACTTCACCGCGCCGTGTTGATCGTGACGACTGTTTGACCATACTTCACCGCGCTGTGTTGGTCGTGACGACTGTTTGACCATACTTCACCGCGCTGTGTTGGTCGTGACGACTGTTTGACCATACTTCACCGCGCTGTGTTGGTCGTGACGACTGTTTGACCATACTTCACCGCGCTGTGTTGGTCGTGACGACTGTTTGACCATACTTCACCGCGCTGTGTTGGTCGTGACGACTGTTTGACCATACTTCACCGCGCTGTGTTGGTCGTGACGACTGTTTGACCATACTTCACCGCGCCGTGTTGGTCGTGACGACTGTTTGACCATACTTCACCGCGCTGTGTTGGTCGTGACGACTGTTTGACCATACTTCACCGCGCTGGTCAGTGCGGCTTCGTGAAGGGTGATGGCACAACACAAGGCTTAAGTGGAAAGTTGATTATGTTTTCTCCTGATGACGATTGCTTGCGTTGCGATTGAAACGTAGTTTTTTTTGTTCTTTGAACCTATCTACGTGACTTTCCCGAAAGACCCAAGAACATGGAAAGTTGATTATGTTTTCTCCTGATGACGATTGCTTGCGTTGCGATTGAAACGTAGTTTTTTTTGTTCTTTGAACCTATCTACGTGACTTTCCCGAAAGACCCAAGAACATGGAAAGTTGATTATGTTTTCTCCTGATGACGATTGCTTGCGTTGCGATTGAAACGTAGTTTTTTTTTGTTCTTTGAACCTATCTACGTGACTTTCCCGAAAGACCCAAGAACATGGAAAGTTGATTATGTTTTCTCCTGATGACGATTGCTTGCGTTGCGGTTGAAACGTAGTTTTTTTTGTTCTTTGAACCTATCTACGTGACTTTCCCGAAAGACCCAAGAACATGGAAAGTTGATTATGTTTTCTCCTGATGACGATTGCTTGCGTTGCGATTGAAACGTAGTTTTTTTTGTTCTTTGAACCTATCTACGTGACTTTCCCGAAAGACCCAAGAACATGGAAAGTTGATTATGTTTTCTCCTGATGACGATTGCTTGCGTTGCGGTTGAAACGTAGTTTTTTTTGTTCTTTGAACCTATCTACGTGACTTTCCCGAAAGACCCAAGAACATGGAAAGTTGATTATGTTTTCTCCTGATGACGATTGCTTGCGTTGCGATTGAAACGTAGTTTTTTTTGTTCTTTGAACCTATCTACGTGACTTTCCCGAAAGACCCAAGAACATGGAAAGTTGATTATGTTTTCTCCTGATGACGATTGCTTGCGTTGCGATTGAAACGTAGTTTTTTTTGTTCTTTGAACCTATCTACGTGACTTTCCCGAAAGACCCAAGAACATGGAAAGTTGATTATGTTTTCTCCTGATGACGATTGCTTGCGTTGCGGTTGAAACGTAGTTTTTTTTTGTTCTTTGAACCTATCTACGTGACTTTCCCGAAAGACCCAAGAACATGGAAAGTTGATTATGTTTTCTCCTGATGACGATTGCTTGCGTTGCGGTTGAAACGTAGTTTTTTTTTGTTCTTTGAACCTATCTACGTGACTTTCCCGAAAGACCCAAGAACATGGAAAGTTGATTATGTTTTCTCCTGATGACGATTGCTTGCGTTGCGGTTGAAACGTAGTTTTTTTTTGTTCTTTGAACCTATCTACGTGACTTTCCCGAAAGACCCAAGAACATGGAAAGTTGATTATGTTTTCTCCTGATGACGATTGCTTGCGTTGCGGTTGAAACGTAGTTTTTTTTTGTTCTTTGAACCTATCTACGTGACTTTCCCGAAAGACCCAAGAACATGGAAAGTTGATTATGTTTTCTCCTGATGACGATTGCTTGCGTTGCGGTTGAAACGTAGTTTTTTTTTGTTCTTTGAACCTATCTACGTGACTTTCCCGAAAGACCCAAGAACATGGAAAGTTGATTATGTTTTCTCCTGATGACGATTGCTTGCGTTGCGGTTGAAACGTAGTTTTTTTTTGTTCTTTGAACCTATCTACGTGACTTTCCCGAAAGACCCAAGAACATGGAAAGTTGATTATGTTTTCTCCTGATGACGATTGCTTGCGTTGCGGTTGAAACGTAGTTTTTTTTTGTTCTTTGAACCTATCTACGTGACTTTCCCGAAAGACCCAAGAACATGGAAAGTTGATTATGTTTTCTCCTGATGACGATTGCTTGCGTTGCGATTGAAACGTAGTTTTTTTTTGTTCTTTGAACCTATCTACGTGACTTTCCCGAAAGACCCAAGAACATGGAAAGTTGATTATGTTTTCTCCTGATGACGATTGCTTGCGTTGCGATTGAAACGTAGTTTTTTTTTGTTCTTTGAACCTATCTACGTGACTTTCCCGAAAGACCCAAGAACATGGAAAGTTGATTATGTTTTCTCCTGATGACGATTGCTTGCGTTGCGATTGAAACGTAGTTTTTTTTTGTTCTTTGAACCTATCTACGTGACTTTCCCGAAAGACCCAAGAACATGGAAAGTTGATTATGTTTTCTCCTGATGACGATTGCTTGCGTTGCGATTGAAACGTAGTTTTTTTTTTGTTCTTTGAACCTATCTACGTGACTTTCCCGAAAGACCCAAGAACATGGAAAGTTGATTATGTTTTCTCCTGATGACGATTGCTTGCGTTGCGGTTGAAACGTAGTTTTTTTTTTGTTATTTTCTTTGAACCTATCTACGTGACTTTCCCGAAAGACCCAAGAACATGGAAAGTTGATATTTAGATAAACGCTCGGCATGTCACTGAAATCTACTGATTTTTTTAAATGTACATACAGTATGTGTATTTTGGGGTATAATGTAGTATCTTTAGTAGCTCCAGGGACCACGTGAACTAATTAATAATATAATCCACACATGAATCTTAAAGCATCGATAATTTAAAACTGCACCACTCATGATTCATGAGCTTTGGAATCGATATTAATCGATCCATCGTGAAAATCATTAACGTTACATTGCAGTATTTGGTGATGCTGCTGCGTCGTTGGTAGTGAGTGATGCACAAACAACAACAAACTCAAACATCCGTCATGTGCTATTAAAGAGGGACTCTGCTCGAAACATCACCTATTGAATGTTATTAATTTTAGGGTCACATTATTATTGACGAAAGTGTTGAGTTTTATGTCATACAGATTACATTCCGTTTCGAGGATACACTTAGAGGCACACGCCTTCAACTATGTACTCTAGAGCTGAACCGTTCGAATATTCCAGTATCTATCACTCTACCGCTTATTGGTTGGATCACTTAACTTATCGGATATAATGAAAAGAGTTGGAAAAATGCATCGCCTGTTCCCACGCGTGCCGCTGACCTTATTGATCACCCCGTGCCCTTATAAACCTCAACGTTCATCCTACAAAGTCACAAGGGAGAAACACCAACAAATAGACATTTATTTGCACATCATATGGACCTGAAAACTCAATTTCCCTGTAAACCATATGGGTTGACACGCTATATTCAAAGTCATGAATAATCGATTATAGATATTTCCAATGGGAAATGCTGCGGCAATTATGGTCTTCATGGAATATATACGTTTTTCATTGAAGAGCGATCTTCAACAGCACCTGAACAGAAGCATTCGAACCAACCACAGAGCAGTGCACCCAAATCTCAACGTTACCACCACCACCATTGGTGGTGGACACGTGGAGGCTGTTATTATGACTCATGATAACAATCTTCAAACAAGCGTGGCTGTGGTTTTCAACCGATCTCTTTGCAAGTCTGAAACAAAGGAGTATTGCTTGATGGCAAAGGGGTGTGTGGGTAATCTATTACCGAATGGTACTCCAGATAGCATTGGCGGGCCATACATTAACAAAGACAAAGGTCCCTCATATAGCCTTAACAGACTGTTGGGGCAAGTGCTGTTAGTGAGCAGCACCTATGAAGGCCGAAACAGCACGCGAGGGGGTGGGTGGCCAAGCACCACGCCCGGCCGCCTTTGCAGTGGCAATGTTTGGACACCGCACCAGGTACTCATTCGAGGCTGAGTCGACTTAGGGGAGGCCCAGGACCAGTTCAAATAAACGTCACTGGTGTTGGTCATGAGCGGGAATCGAATTTGGGTCTCGGGGTTGGAAGCGCAGCGCGCTAACCGCTACACCACCGCTCCCCACACATGAACGTACACACCACCTACCTACCTTTCGCCACTGTGCAAAGAAGCCTTGCCAATTGTTCAAAGAGGCCCCTTTCACAGTGACATAATTTGTTGTACCAATATTAGAAACACTGTTGATGATGCCAGGTCGAACGTAATCCCTGGCCAAGATGCTTTGCAGTGACGGGTAAATATCGTTCGAATACTGCGTGGTAGCTGGGCCACGTGGTGTATGAAACTAAGTCGTGTGCCGGGTATAGCCCCGCGGGCTCTAAAGTTCCCCCATCTGCTTCATGGACATTCCTGACACCGAGCGGTGTGAGGCTGCTCTTAGTTGAAGCTTGCCCCAATACTGTCACACGTTATCGCAGTGTCGACTAGGGCTGAACGATTTGTGGAAAATATCTAATTGCGATTGCGATTAAATGTTTTAAAGTCAAGCTTCAGTTCAACATTCGCTGTGTAATAGATGTAAAACATGTGATGGAGCATTACCACATGATACCATAAAATCTGAACTGCTCTATATATTCGAATGCAAGGATGAGAACTTAAAAGATATAAATTGCTTCCAACATGTATTTATTAAAATGTGTTAATTGAAATAGAACAATCAAACATAGAACAATTGTTAAGTTAAATAAATAAAGTTATAAAAATAAAACAATTCCAATAAGTAATATGACTTCAAATCGCTAAAAAAATATTTCGATTTCAAATTGATTAATCGTTCAGCCCTTGTATCGACCATGGGGGGTTGTTTGACCATAACTTCTTCAACCATCGCTGGTCAATGCGGGATTGATGCACATAGGGGATTGATGTCATTACACGGAACGCCACAAACGCACCACCATGCTTTGGTTGATTTCGTCCAAGGGGCATAAACCATCATCACGCGAACTCTGATCATCCTCGGCGGTGGCTATTGGCTGAACCGTCGAACAAAGACGATCGTCAGATGCGCTTCTGCGGTGGCCGTCTGGAACGCTCTTCCGATATTGGGAAGCCACTGGAGCTATGCACTTTTAAATCATCTACATTGAAAACTCACTTATTTAGAACTGCTTTTTGTCTTGTGTTGATGCCCCCCCCCCCGTCGCACCTCCGATTAGCACGGTTGGCTACGTACGGTGCGAAAGAAGGTCAGCTTACAGGGTGGTCCAGATGTCTTGGGACCCTCAATGAGTTTAACACGTAGGCTTTTTCGCGACCAAAATTATCCATCGGAGGTTTCTGTTCTTTTGAGACCCCGATATTTCTTCCCCCGTTTGCATATTAATCCGTTTTAAACAAACCCTTTCCTATTAAAAAAATGAAGTTTTTATAGACTTGAATGGGGGCATGAGGTGGAGTGGGAGGTGGTGGGTAGGAGGTCACACGACATCTGGATCAACCTTTACATACAAGGGGGTGGTGGGGGGCAAGCTAGCGGGACGATGCAACTTTGTTGCAAGAGAAACGCTGGAGGTGGGGTGGGGAAGTGGGGTGGGGTGATGCCTCGGCCCCTAATACAGTGAAGTACTAAAAGGGGCCCAGCCCCACCGTGCAAAGAATTCATAGACGTGGCTTCTCCCCCTCTCCAGTTTCCCCCCATCAGTCCCGCCCATCATCAACCCTCCTCCTCATCATCATCCCCTCCCTCGTTTCTCTTCCCCTCCATCCCCTACAGCATCGTCGCCTTCGCTCCCTTCTAGAGAAAACCACGACACCGAGCGGCCAGCGACAACAACACACACAAAAAAAAACCCGCAAACCCCAACCGAGGAGGAGGAGGGCGAACGTTTTCCATTGTTTGAGTTGCCTCCAAAGAAAGTTTTCACGGTTAAATTAAATCCAAGTTTGGTTTAGAATAAAACTTAGCTTGCTTTTGGGTAAGAGCGGTGTGTAACGAAGGTGAAAGTTCAACACCACCCAGCGCTTCACCGCTAATCTCAAATTCCGCTTGGCCGAGTTAGCGGAATTCCATTTATTCCGCCCTTCGCTTGCCCGAGGTTTGACGACTAAAACGATGGCCATCAGCGACGGATCGACAACGGTGATGAAGGTGACAAAGCTGCTGCTGCTGCTTGCGGCGGTGGCAATGATCACGACCGTGTCGGGCGCGTCTGGCAAGAAGACGGCGGTGGATGCGGTGGAGGTAAAGTCGGTCTCCTCGCCGGCGGAGTGTCCACGGCGGGTGGCGAGCGGTGACTTCGTGCGCTTCCACTACAACGGGACCTTGAAGGGCGGCAAGGCGTTCGACTCCAGGTAAGACGATCATGTCTCAACAAACACAACCACCAAGAACCAAACACAACCACCAACAACCAAACACAACCACCAACAAACAAACACAACCAGCAGGTGATCGGTGCCTACTCAGTCACTCACCCACCCAAACTCATCGGCAATCACGCTCACGGATGAGGCTCACGGATGAGGCTCCCGGGTTTCCCCACTACCACCACCACCAAAACGAAACTTTCGACTCGCATTTTGTTAAGCGGCGCCTCCCCAATCACCGCAAACTCATCAGGAACCCCGCTCACGGATGATTCTCCCTGGTTTCACCACCAACCACTACCAAAACGAAACCTACTACTCGCATTTTGTTCGATTGCAGAGTTCTATGTTACGCGTTAAATGTCGCTTCTAAATCCGCTTCAACGCCCCTTCCCCCCCGCCGGGCCACGGCTGAACAATCAGCGGAGAGTGGTGAGGTTGGCCGTCATCCAGCAGTGGATAGAGAATAGGACGAATATTAATAGCACCCCTACTCTTGTCGGTGTGAGCAATGTCACAAGCTGGGAGAATATGCACTGATTTTTTTTTTATGCGAATTGTTCATAATTGTTGGCATCTAGCAGTGGATGGATGATGGCAAGCGGCTGCTGATGAACTGCGTGAAGCAGCAGCAGCAACTGTGCACGGTCGTGTGCACGTCACAGCTGTTCATTGCCCTAACGTTGCGAGACGTGTAACAACTAATACAATAATATTCCTTCTCGCAACTGGTTTTTTTTTAGCAATGTGTTAGCGTGAGTATTTTTTTTTTACATTTTTTTTCTTTCAAAAAATGTTTTTCCAATGAACCGAGACATTTTAAAAGTTCGACGACTCTTAGCGGAGTCGGTGACAGGCAGACGAATACGACATGCGCACTTGCAAAATGTCCTCTGTCTCTGTGTGTGTGTTTCCCCTCTGTGTGTGTGTCACTCTGTGTGTGTGTCTCCTCTCTCTGTGTGTTATGTCACTCTGTGTGAGTGAGAGATTTGAGTGGTCGGGGAGCGGTGGCGTAGCGGTCAGGGCTACGAGCCCGGTGACCCCGAGTTCTATTCCCGATTATTGGAACGGGCTCTGGGCCTCCCCTAGGTCGACTCGGCCTCGAATGAGCACCTGGTGCGGTGTTGTCGTAAACGTCGCCACGAGGGAGACAAAGGCGGTCGGGCGTGGTTGTGCTGCCCCACCTCGTGTGCCTTGTCCGTCCTTCATAGGCGCTACTCGCTAGCTGCACTTGCCCCAAGTCTGTTAAGAGGCTACACGGGGGATCTTTGTCTTTGTGCCGGGCTTGAACCCACACAGAGTAAATCACAGTGGTGAAATATGGTCAAACAACGCCCCCGGCGAGATGGGAGGCCCTTAATCCAGCCAGCAGTGGATTAAATTGTTGTTGTTAGTTACGCAGTTGCTACAAGACGTCGCGACGTGATTGTTTATTATGTTAACATGCGGCAGGTGAGATTTCAACTTGGATCCATTTCTAGATACCCTGCTCATGTCTCGTCGGTGAGTTATCCGACTCGTAACCAGCCGGGTATCTATAAACGGATCGCTCATTTTAATGGTAATAACAGGCGTCAGGATTATTCAGTGCCATCGGAGCTTTAAACATGTCACGTGCAAACGCTATTGACACACACAGCAGTGTGATCGACACTTTACACATGCTACGTTGTTCGCATATTTCTGCAGTAACAGTCGCTGGCAAGAAGTAAGAAGTACAGTGCACAAAGGAGACACACATCCACCACAATGCAGCTACGCGCAGCCAGGGGGCCCACCAATAAGCCAAAACTTGCCGCAACAAGCCTCTTCTGAGACTTCCAAACATTCTTGCTCCGAGTCGCGCTCGCAATTCACGTTGCCGTTGGGGCACGTGGCCGCTTCCCTCGTTGAAATCTCCTTGCAGCTTGTGTCAACCACTTAGACTCTTGTCCCTTCCTTCCCTGCGTCTTCCAAACTCGAGGCAGCTTTTTTTGCATCGCCACCCTCTCTCCTCTGCCCTCCGGCCGCCGGTGTTTGGTGCGTTGATGTTTGTCGACAACTCTTTGCAAAATTTCGATTTAAAGCTTTCGTGACTGCAGGGATTCATCTTCTTGGTTCTTTCGGTAAAGTCACGTAGAAGGGAGATAATAAAATAATAAAAATAAAAGATAATAAAATAATACAATTCTCACGACGTTTCGGCCACAACGCAAGCAGCCGTCCTCAGGTGAAGAACAGGTCTGTCGGAAAGACATCGTCTGAATGAACACCACCAAGCTTGGCAGCGTATATTTAAGCTGGGTTAGGGGAGGAAGAGCGCCTTGAAAAAGGAATTTGCATATCAACAGATAAATTTAGCATATTTATGGGAAATTCTTATATGGGATTAGTACTGTTTGCAAGTTGAAATGTCACCAAACGAACCTCAACGTCGCTAGGTGTTGCTAAGGTGGACATTAAATGGTGTCAAAAATATCACCAAACAATTGACGTCGTATCGAACATAGCAGACCCCGACATCATCATTAATACAAACCTGCAATCATGTCACGAGACCATTTACTAAGTATCAAACTGATTCAGCATCATTAATGCATATCAGAACTTGCTCCATATCTCCATAATGCCTTTGTCTCCAGAAAGTTGCCAGTGGAAAATCCAGCTGAATCAATTGCACGGTATTTCTATGCATTGCTTATTACCCCCCGAATGGTGAAACCAGTGCAGATGTGTTTTGTGTTGAGACCATATACAGTTTGTTAACAATCGTCCACAAGGCCTGGGAAGCCGGTGGGAGAAAAGCTTTTTTCATTTTCAAACTGGAGATACAAAAGAGAGAGAATTGTACATGTTATTACCTATAATGCAACACTGAAAATTGCACGGATACGTTTTTGTAATATAGTTATAAATAAAGCTCGTTTATATCTATTTGCAAAATTGGGTGCCTTGTCTGCAAGGAAATTGGGCCACGTAGCAGTTTTCGAAGGGCATGGAGTGGGTGGAATATATCACCAACGTGGCAGAAAAAGTTGCTGCTTTTCACTGACCAATCGCTAAGGGACATCTGGTGGCTTAGAGCGCCCATCCCCACCACTGGGATTCACATATGGAAGTCACGCCATGGCCCTCCTTCTTTCAGGGGGTCTGACATGCCTGTGGCAGATGACGACACCCTTTGCCAAAAGAGATCCAATGCATGAATCCGTTAAGCAACGCATCTTTTTTTTCTTTCATTAATTGACTTAGGCGCAAGGAATGTTACGTTGGAGAGCTGTGGCACAATGGTTAGCACACTGCTACGAACTCGGCGAGACAAAGTTTGATTCTGGCCATGGCTATCGTCATAGAATTGTAAGATCAACACCAGGACCACAGTCAGTGGGAAAGGACATTTACTAGTTTGTGCTACACCATTCTTTCATGATGTCAAGATATTGTGCTAATCATTACACGTCAATCATTATATTTTTCTCTGGACTATTTAACACATTTGTTATAAACCTCGTGTGTCCTGGTGACGCATCAATGAATGAGCAGCATACAGTGAAGCTGCCTAGCAGGGCCACCAAAATAGTTATTGAAGGCTCTAGGCAAAATGCCAGGTGAGATCCCCCTTCTGCCAAGAAGCAGTAACGCAGTGGTTAGCGCACTGCATTATGAACTCTGTGATCCGAGTTGCATTCTGGGTCACAGCTAGCATCAGTGATTTGTTACATCTGCAGAGGTCATGAAACACCACCCTCCCTTCACTTACACAGAATGATGAAATTTTGTCAAACTGTGCGCTCGTGAAATAAATGGCATCTGGACGACTTCATGATGCAGCAGTGAATTGTCAAATGGCTGTAACACGTAGTGTTTTGTTGTTAAAACGCCGAGGTCTGTAACCAATGAATTCACACATCTGTTTGTAATTTCCCCTTTGCACCACAGTCTTCTTTGTAAAATAGGCTTTAAAATTATTTCTCGTGTAGTTATAAATACACACGTATTATTAATAAAAATCCTTTACTGTTTCGCCCATGTGCAAATACATCTACAGTATTTACATGGATATTTCTGAATCATAGCTTTGGAGATGTCTTTTGCACCATAGCTGTAAATACATGAAGGCTGCCACGGACAGAAAGGGCTCAAATGTGTACCACTTTTGGTTTTCAAATTTTAAGTGGAATCATTTACAAAAGTCTTTCATTCTAACAATAGTAGTATGATTATAGTAATGATGATGAAAACAAACATTCCATGAAATAAAAAGTAGTACAGCATGAAGGTAATTTAACAAATATCGTCATTCATCACTCCGTCAGTAGGTGTCTCAAGGGAGCAGGCATTCGGTTTAATGTTTTTTTGGCCACTCTCCATGGCAGGTCACTCTTTCTCAAACACCGCGCGTGCATTTTGCAAAGGAGAAACTTCGGTGATTTTTGTTTTATAAATTGCTCATCTTTGCACTCATTCCAGTTTCTTCATCCATACGCGGAATGATGGACAGCCGTCTTTGGATAAATCAGCAGCGGCGTAGTGCTCTCAAAGGGACACTTTAACACAATAAGATGTTTTTGTGTTTTTTTGCTCCTGCTATCGTGTGCAGCTACGAGAAGGGCTCCACCTACAACATGTTTGTAGGAAAGAAGCTGATGGTCGCCGGCATGGACCAGGGCCTGCTGGGCATGTGCGTCAACGAGCTGCGGACCATCCGTGTCCCCGCGGCACTCGGCTACGGCAAGGAGGGCCTCGGTACGAGACACTCGCACGCGACACTCGGACAAACACCGTCTCGGTGCACCACTGCGACGGCCTTTCGCGGTTGTGCTGCAGAGTGGACACGCGGGTGAGCGCTTTGAATCTCCCTCCTCTCTTTCTCTCCGTCTCCCACCACATGTGCAGGCGACTCTATCCCAGCCAATGCGGAGCTGTTCTTCTCCGTGCTGCTCGTGGATGTGTGGAACCCCGAGGACAAGGTGGCCGTGCACACGTACTCCCTGCCCGAACCATGCGAGCGCAAGGTGCAGTCCACCGACTACGTGCGCTACCATTACAATGGCACGCTGCTCGACGGCACACCCTTCGACTCCAGGTAAGGGATGAGGATTCAACGTTTTGCATTTGCGGGTGCGCCTTAGAGAGTGCCTCGCATCACATGTCATCTCAAATAATTCCAACACCCTGCTGCAGTGTCGTCAAAGGGACAGCAGTGGCAGCTGGCCCTGTAAAGAATTAAGTGTACTTTGGTGAACCAGATCAAGTGAAATACCAAGATGTAAGATGATTGTTTTTGTACAGTCCTCGGTGACCGAGTTTAAACTATCAACTTGCTATACTTGAGAACCCCGTTGAACCACAAGTGGCTGATACCTGGATTCAAACTCAGGCTCTCAGTACTGCCAGCTCAGTACTCTGACCTCTGACCTTAAAACACCCAGCGGCCTGCTGCTGCACTTTTTCTGTTTTCTCTCACATGCATCTTTCTGTGGTTAAAATATACAAGGGTCGATTTATCTCCCCAAAAGATGTTACGGATTTACTTTTGTTAGCTAAAGTGATTAATTAAATGCCACTCGACCAGGACCTCACCTTTAAATAGAGTAAATCTATAATTAGCGTTTTTTAGGATGAAGCAACTGTATTTAAGAAATTGCACATGGATGGCACGAAGATTATTTCATCCTTTGCCAAACATCATCATGAGCCATGTCAATCTACTGCTGATTGAAGATGTCCCTAAGTTGAAGGCCACTTTTCACAATCTTGCACTGTAATAATCCCCCAAGCACCTGCATATGCGTTAATTTCGCTCCAACTCGTCGGTTGACGTACCCTTGAATGCATTGCATTCCTTGGCTACCGCTTTTCATTATTAAGATATAACAACACTGAAAAGGTGTGCTTAAAAGCAGGAAGACACAACTCCCATCATGCTTTGCATGCATATTATGTGAGCAACTCACAGCATGAACAATGTTCAGAGAGAATTATTTTATTATATTATTATATTATTTTATTATATTTTTTTATTTTATTATATTATATAATTTTATTATGTTTTATTTTTATTATTTTATTACTTCCCTTCTACGTGACTTTACCGAAAGAACCAAGTAAATGTTCTGAGCCTTATCTACGCTACCAGTTCGACAGAGCTGAATGAGTGGCATATTTCTAAACCATTGGCAATCATTGTAAAACATGCCACCCTGAATTCCCTTGTCTTTGCCCCCCTATCCTTCATAACTAATTTGTCGCTCCAAACCCAATCCCACTTGTCGCGCTGTGCGTTCTACAGTTACACCCGCAAGTCGACGTACAACACGTACGTGGGCATGGGCTGGCTCATCGCGGGCATGGACCAGGGCCTTCTGGGCATGTGCGTGAACGAGAGGCGCTTTGTTACCATCCCCCCTCAACTGGGCTACGGAGAGTCTGGATACGGTGAGCGTATGGCCCCTCCTGTCTCATTGTGTGTGTGTGTGTGTTACAGTTTGGGGAGTGGTCGGGTAGTGGGTGGTTAGCGCACTGTGCTGCAAACCCGGCGAGCCGAGTTCAATTCTCATTTTTGACCTATAACAGTGGCGAATTTGAACCGGTTCTGGTCTTCCTTTAGGTCAACTCGGACTTAAATGAATACCTGGTGCGGTGTGTGAACATCAGCACTGGGGAAACAAAGGTGGCCACCCACCCCCTCGTGTGCCGTGCCAGCCTTCATAGGTGCTCGCTAACAGCACTTGCCGCAGCAATCTGTTAAAGGCTATGCGGGGGATCTTTTTCTCAATTTTATTTCGGTACACATGCACCCTCTATAGCTCTGTGGTGTGTTTTTGAGTTGTACCACATGTTGTCTAACACGATGTCTGACGTTTAGTGCGTGTCATGGGGATTATTTGACCATACTTCACACTGGTCAGTGCAGGTTGGTGAAGGTGGGGAGCACAGACGTTGGGATGTAGCACAGTACAATAGTGGAAATTGCTGCACTGCCCTCTGCTCACAATGTATCCTCGCAGCAGCCTGTGTCACGCATGGCGCTCGCCCATCACCTGCATTGTGCCTGATCTCATCAGATCTCGGAAAAGGCAAATAACAAAGTAACTCGACACATTTGTCAGTAACACGATAATATGACATTTCGAGCAATAGCCCTTCTTCATTGCATATAAACACAGAGGCGTTGTGTTTGCATCATGCGATCTCGGAAAGAAGCTCAGTAGAGTTAAACCGCACAGTGTGGGGAGGTTCTCATCCAGCAGAGGATTGACAAAACAGCTATTCATCTACATGTGCTCCTGTGTTGTGCACGCTTATGTTGACCACTGGGTGAGAATGCCAACTCTACGCTGGCGGCGTTTTTCTGCCCGTAATTCTCGTGCTACGTTTCGTGCGTCTCTTTGTCTCCTTGTTGCGGCGTCACGCGCACAGACCCCGTGATCCCGGCGCAGGCCAGCCTCGTGTTCGACGTCCTTTTGCTGGACCTGCACAACCCAAACGACCGGGTGGACATTAAGACGTACCTCGTGCCCGAGAACTGCACCCGTAAGACCAAGTCGAGTGACTACGTGCGCTACCACTACAACGGAACTCTGCTCGACGGGACCCCGTTCGACTCAAGGTGCGACCTTCATCACAATGTTCGCAGTGCCACGCAAGATTCCCCCCCCCCAACCATCGCACACTTTATAATACGCTTCTGTGGTGGTCTGGAACGCTCTTCCATCCGATATTAGGAAGTCACTGGGGCTATGCACTTTGAAATCATGCAGATTGAAAACTAATTTATTTTGAACTGCTTTTTGTGTTTAGCTCGTTGTCCTTCCCCCGTACCTCCGATTAGCACGCTTGTCTGCACACGGTGCAAAAGAAGTTCAACATATGTAACAAACAAAAACATTCGCAGTCCTTTATCGAAGGGCATGGCATGTGGCATCAGCCATGGGGGGTTGTTTGACTATACTTCACTGACACGCTGGTCAGTGCAGCTTGGGGTCTAGAGCGAACCCGGGACCAATTCGGATATCACCTGACAGCCGGGCTTGTAGCTCCATTTCTTCGAGCTGTAATTTATCCAAATGCTTGCGTTGCAGCCACTCGCGCAACCGGACGTACAACACATACCTGGGGCTGGGCAATATCATCGCGGGCATGGAGGAGGGGCTGCTGGACATGTGCGTCAACGAGCGCCGCATCGTCACCATCCCGCCCCACCTTGGCTACGGAGAGGGCGGCACAGGTACGACGCGTCCGCGGAACACAACCTTGCTGCAGCAGCTTCCGTCCAGCGGCACACTCTGTTGGCTCGGGTTTCCGCCATGCGGCAACACTACAATGTACAGTCAGCTCTCGATTAACGATGCAGGGTAATGGTGGGGAGGGATAGCCCGGATACTTGAGCTGCACCCATAAATGTCCACCCCCTTTTCCACAAACTCCTCCTTTGGATGAGCTCTGTGCCTACTTTTAGCCTGTTGCATTGGTAGGGAAATTTCAGGCCCGGTTATGACCACAATCTCCTTCATTAATTCCCCTTATTTTCTCGACGATGGGGCTGATCTCTCCTTTTTCAGTCTCGCACCAGCTTCACAGCTTACTTGTCGCCATTTTTGTCTGATATCTTTCTTCGCTATGCCAACCCAGCGCATATGTTGCCCTCTTGGACATGCGCGTAGACCTGGTCACGCGTGTAAATCTGGACACGTGTGTAAACCGCCGGGGTCATCTTTCTTGGATCATCTCCATCAGTGTCACCACCTCTTGTCCCACTCGTTCTCTTGTTGCTTCATTTCGTATTTTCAGCGGTCTAGACAGACACGCTCATTTCTGCACTTGCTCATGTTTATCGGTTGGATTTCCTCAATGTCGTTGCTCTCGTCAAAAACATCGAATTCATCGAAACAACAAGAGGCTTAGCATGCCCCAAACTGGTTATCTTAAGCGTCGTGTCTGCTTGTGTCTCCGAATCACGCAAGGTTCCATCCCGGGCTCGGCCGTGCTGGTGTTCGACATCAACCTCATCGACTTCCACAACCCCAAGGACGAGGTGCAGACGGACTCTTACTTCCAGCCAGAGGAGTGCTTCCGCAAGTCGCGCAAGGGAGACCTGGTGCAGGTGCACTACAACGGGACCTACATGGACGGCTCACCGCTCGACTCCTCGTGAGGGCACATGCGCGGATACGGGACGATGGGCACGCGACACCCGTGCGATGCATCTTGGGTGCACTCACGGCGGCCTGTCGCGCCATTTATAATCACGTTGCGGCGGATGTGCCCTCAGGCCCCGTAAGTCAATCGACGCAATGTGACAACGATTTTTGGTGGGAAAATGGCGGAAGTAGCGCCGTATTCGTGGCGGCACTTACCCTTTTGGATGAATCTCTAAGGACATGACCGACTGGGCCTATGACCCAAATCACCCGGAATGCACCCGGTCTCACCAGATCTCGAAAGCCATGCAGGGTTGAGCCTGGATAGTACTTGAATAGGTGATCACCATGCACAGCAGATTGCTCATGGCTCCTGTGGGGCTTGGTGGTGGTTAGCAGAGGGCAGTGCAGCAAACTCCATCGTCTATGCTCCCCACCTTCACCCCTCACTGACCAGTGTTTGCGTACCAACTCGCACCGACCATCGTGGTTGAAGTACGGTCAAACAACCTCCCACCACTGACACAGCATGGGGAGGTTCTCATCCAGCAGTGTCTGGACAAGAGCGCGAATGCGATCACACATGTTGAGCACCTGCGTGCGTATTTGCTCTGTTTTCTGCGCACACTCACACACACTGTGCCGACGTGTGCGCGTGGGACAGGCACAAGTATGGAAAGACGTACGACCTGATACTGGGCAGTGGCCGTGTGGTACTGGGGCTGGACCAGGCGCTCACGGGAATGTGTGTCGGCGAAAAGCGCATGGCGATCATCCCTCCGCACCTGGGATACGGCGAGCAGGGCATCGGTGAGGGATTTCAAACCAGTGCCGCACGGATTGGTTTCATCTCTATTTTTTACTCGGTTCCCTACCCCCGCCCCACCTCGTGCCACGTTTGCAGGAGTCTTATAACGTTTCTCTTTGGCCAAAGCATCGGGCCGAGACCTTGGCAAGTCACCTAACACGTCTAGAGCTGGATTCTTCAACTGCATTTAGCAGCAGGCCACATAATGAAACTAGCAATTGCTGGCAGGCCATGTGACATCATACGTCACGTGATGTCTTCATGCCATTTTTTCTCTGTGTCATTGGCACCGTTATCAGGACCCACGTATATGTACATATGCTGAACTTCTTTCATACCGTATGTAGCCAACCATGCTAATAATTGTATTTGCTCTATCCGCCCGTGCGTTAGTTTCCTGCGCCTCTATGGGTGTGTGCCTCTACTTAATGCTCGTTTTCGCGTTTCTCCCGGTGTCTCCTCACAGATGGCGACGTTCCAGGGAGCGCCGTGCTCGTGTTTGACCTGGAGCTCGTGGCTCTGCAGGAGGGCCTGCCCGAGGGATACCTCTTCATCTGGGACGGGGATGTGCCCACCAACCTCTTTGAGCTCATGGACAGCAATAAAGATGGCCATGTCGATTTGGAGGAGGTGAGATGCACTCGCACGCAGGTGGGCATAGCGGAGGAGAGAGAGCTCGTTAATTGGAGGTGTAATGGTTGACCACTCCGCACTTCTCCTCAACTCTGTGGATTTAGGTAAACCATCGTGATTTGGGGTTGCAATTTGATCGAAGAATCGGTTCTTTTTTACAATTTTCTGAATGGGGGGGGGGAGGGGCATGACCGTGTCAATGTTAACGTTAAACACATTTGAAATATGGTCTGCTTTTTTGCATCATGCATTCTCCCCTAGTGTTCACCCCCGATGCATGTAAGGAAATGCTGCACTGCCTGTTGCTTAATGGAACAAGAATTAAGAAGGGAGGCTGAGCTTTCAGCAGGAGAGGAGAGGGGGGGAGCTGTGTAACCCCCTCTTAGCCTCTCCCGACGCGACGGGGCGAACTCGCCACCGACCTCTGACCTCCTCCCTCTGTATCGTCGTCTCGTGTGCGCAGTTCACCGCCTACCTCAAGGCGGAAGTGGCGGCCGGAAAGGGGCGGCTCGCCCCCGGCTCGGATCCGGACAAGGTCATTGGTGAAATGTTCACTAACCAGGACCGCAACAAGGACGGTCGCATCACGGCGCCGGAATTCAAGCTGAAGGCGGAGGAGGATGCCGAGAACCACGATGAGCTGTGATGAGGCTTGGGAGCAGGAAACTACATGAGCTGCGTTGCCTGTATCTCTCCCTAGAAAGCAACGCGATGTTCCCCCCCTCCCCACCCTCCCCACCCTCCCCACCCCCCCCACACTCCCCACCCCCCTACCCTCAGCTATTCCCCCACCCTCTCTCCCTACCTGGGGTCCCCTCCTGTATCACCTGCCCTCGCAGTCGTTTGCCCGCCCATTCCAGCCATCCTGCCGCCCCCCCCTACGGCTTTGCTGCTCAGGCTGTGCCACCTCCCCCAGCAGCTGTAAGCAGTCTGTCCTTCAGCCACACAGAGCCACCGTAATTCCGTCTCGCTCGAACGTCTGCCTCTCCTGGCAGAAATAGATGTCGCAAACGGTGGAGCAATCGGTCATTTTCAAAAAATGCAAATGAAGATTATTCGCTAAGTTTCGACGCAGGCCTTAACCTCCCCGTGCCTTTCGTATCTGTATTGAGGAGTCCGCGTGGTTAGGAAATGTTAAATAGAGCCTCATGGACGATATTTAAACACGGTTTCAACGGACGAGGGCGGGTGTAGTTGTTGGACATGTTGTGGAAAATTCAAAAGCACGTGTGATGTTGCCATTTTTTAAAACTATATTTTAATACGTTTTTTTGTTTAATATGGTCTTTTAAAAATATGCATCGTTAAAGATGTATTCATGGTTTTGTTTTGTTTACATGGGAATCCTCCTGTGTCCAAATAATATTTCGAAAGGGTTCTGCTGTGGGGAGTTTGTCCAATTTTTGTTTTAGTTTTTGCATGTGGTGTTATTAGTAGAAGGGGAGAACAATTAAATTCAGCACTGATAATTCAGCAACTTACTTGCTGTACTGCCTCTATCCTGCAGGTGTCTCTCAGGCTCCAGCTGTTTTTTTAAAATACAAATGCAGTAAAAAAGAAAAAAAAATTGGCAGAAATGTACAATGTCAGAATATCAGAATGTCCAGGATTATTTTCAGTTAAAAGTCTGGAGCGGAGATGGGCGATTTGGCCTTTATCCAGCGGTGGATTCAAAATTGCTATGATGAAAGGTGCTGAAACATTAATGGAGTATAAAAAATAACGGTGCGGTTTGCGGAGCCTAATTCATGCGTTTGCATGAGTAAAGTTTCTTGCCAGTGTTATAGAATAGGTCACAGCTGCTATTTTCTGCAGATGTGTCCATTGTTGTGGCAATGTTGAAGTTGTACCCCTGTGTACAGGTCTGTGTGCTATGCAAATAACTTGCAACATTTCTGTGAAATCCGAGTGTCGTTTGGGTTTCAGGTAGCAATGCGCAGCTTTACGCCCACATTTGATGGGCATTCTTTTAAGTGTTTTTCTAATCAATTCTGTTATTCTTGAACATTGAACCTTCTTTTTTATTTCACCAAATTAAAGTGCCTACCCTTGAATAAAACAGTGTATGGTTTTAACGTCCCACACCAGTCTCCTGCCTCAAAAGTGTTCACCCTCAGCATCATTAAACCACACAAAGTTCCACGTGTGTTATTTTGCAATGAATTTGCATATTTTAAACAGCGCCACGAGTGTCCAAGTGGTTCTCTGGGAAGGACAACCCTTTCAGTGGTTGTGGCATGGATATATGAGAATTACTAATGGATTGTATCTGATGTATGCTAATGGTAAACTAAAACTTACTTACCGAGTAAAGCCCACTGAGCTATGAGCTCTTTTATTAGATATCTCAAAGTAGCTTTTGGAAATTTACAGTAGCCAAATCCAAATGGCGGTTTCTAAATGGAGAAAATTTCATGGCACTAGAAGGAGAGTGCAAACTCCGAATAGGCAAACCCATGACCTGCACAACAGGCAAGGGAGATAAAATCCCACCACAGCACCATGTCACTACATCCTTCAACCATTATATGTACAGGTAGGAACAATAGTTCCACACTGCCCACCAGGGATTATTTGTCTGTCGTGCATAGCCACGCCCTCGATTTGTATTTCATAGAGCGCTTCGGGCGGGCTCAGCACCACGTGAGGCGCCGCCCCACGCAGCTTGCGCCGCGTGACACGGATCGCACGAATGCGCTGTCCAACCAAGTTCCGACCTGCCCACTCCGAAGGAACGTGTTTGAGCCGCATGTCACCTTAGATAACCCGAGCATGTAGTTGTATACAGCCAGTGTCCCTACTGGACGTCATCAGTTTAGTTTGAATACGGCCTTGCCCGCAGCATCTGCCACCATTTTAAAATTAACCGACTATTGGCTCTTGGCCCAAACTGTCCAGCAATAATTGACAAGTGGCACCTACCAAAAGTTAATTACTTTCCAAGAACGGTTTGCTATATTTCCTTATGAATATTTTAGGGGCATTTAATATGAAATTAAGGAAGTTGGCTTTAGCAGTTGTGGTAGCTAAAAAAGACTCCAAAGTTTAAGATAGTTTTTTTCAGCAACTAGGGCACAAAGCGATTGTAGGGGAGGGGGCGGGTATGGGGACGAGTGGTTTTACTTGGAGGATTACCACACCAAAAAAGGTTGAAAACCACTCGATGGATTAATTGCTTAAATCCCAGTCTGAAATCAGATAGACTCCATGCATTCTCCACTGTGTATGCAGCAAGAACCACACAGCCTGCAAAATAAAAGTCCAGATTATACCGTTCTATTAGCTCATCTCTTTATACTGAAACAATATTACTGGTAGGAACCACCTGGTTACACCAGCCCACAGGGGATTATTGTGTCCGTCCGTCGAGGGGTGGGGCTGGGTGGAGAGGGGTAGGAGGGGTGGGGCTGGGTGGGGAGGGGCTGGTTACCCCGTGGTGCCCTTATAAAACTCAACGTTTAACCTACTTACGCTGGCTTGCAGAGGTGGGACAAAGTCATTGTTATGCAAGTCCAAGTCGAGTCTGAAGTCATCAAATTCATGACTCGAGTCTGACTCGAGTCCAAGTCACATGACTCGAGTCCACACCTCAGAGGTGGGACAAAGTCATTGTTATGCAAGTCCAAGTCGAGTCTGAAGTCATCAAATTCATGACTCGAGTCTGACTCGAGTCCAAGTCACATGACTCGAGTCCACACCTCTGCTGGCTTGTGCCCACCCTCACAGTCGGGCATATTTGCGGAATACACCACGCCACCGTTGACCCTGGCCATTGACCGAGCAACCCAACGTTCCTACCAGCTCCCTCCGCAGGAATCTGTTCCAGCATCACGGAGATCTAAGTTAAATCCTGGGTTTCGGCCACCAATAACTCAACCAGTCTCTCAAATTACAGCAAATGAATACTGGCCCAGTCAAGCATGATAACGTAAAATAACCCCATCAGCTATATTTGTACTTAATTCACCCAAAATGCGAACCATTGAAATACACACGCAGCCATGTTATACTTGGAACTCTTTGCATGGAAATTGGAGGGCATGCCCTGAGCATGTTGATTATTCAACGCCTCGACTTCACAATTCTAATGAGAGCGCCATCTCTTGTATTGTGGGGCGTTACTTCTGGTTTATCTATGGTAGGGTTTATATCTAGAGCAAAGGTGGGGTGGGGCGGATCCACCCGGAAAGCCTCCGAAGCGTTCCCGAAAGTTCCAGGAGGGGCGTGGTTAGAGGCGGGGCTGAGCCGCCGGGGAGCACATGTAAGCGAGAGGGCCGGAGCAAGGTGCGGGGTCGGTGTTGAACATCAAGAGGAGTTCCCCGTCGCTGCTGCACCACCATCTCCATCGGCCACGTGGCAGCTCGACCTCCAGCCGCTCCCTCGTGCGCCGTCAGCCAGCGGCGTGTTAGCGAGCGGGCGAGCACCACGTGTCGAGGGGCAGCGTAACATCCGTAGCGAGACAACCAAGCTGTACCGAAGATTTATTAATAAACGTCAAGTTCTTACCGTGTCGGAGCCACTTATTATGCAATAACTGTCTGGGCCACTCCTAACACCAGACGGTTATTTTGCGGTGCCTTTTTTTACACCCCAATGAGGGAGGCTTGTGTTGCCTCCGAAACGTCGCGAATGATTTGTTTTCATTTATTTCATTGTTTTACCTACGTGACTTCACCGAAAAAAACAAAGAGTACCAGATGGGTGCATTAGATTTGGGTTCCAAATGGAAATCAACGTGCCACAACTGATTTGGATTGAGGAAAAATGTAAAACGTTGGCACCAGTTGACATGTATATGCACATCACTTATTTGTAATAACGCAATCGACAGGAATCCAACCAGTGCTCTCTTTGCAATTTCTTTATTGATAACAATAAGTACACCACATGACGAGGCAAATACTGGATCGGTTGGGACTTCAAATCACGTGTTTATTTGACTTGAGTAAATATCTGCACAGCTTTGCCACGTTCGTCCACAGGATTCATTGCTCCTTGTATCCGTGTTGCTACAGGGTGGATGACAGGGGAAGAGGGGATCACATGAACAAACAAAATATAAATTCATCCTGCAACTGTTACTACTGCATTTCTTTGATAAACCTCAGTATAGTATAACACCATTAATAAAAAAAAACACATAAGAATGACACCCCAAGCTCTTAAGATGTATCGTTTGTAAAAAAACAAATTTGAAATGTAACCATTGGGCTACTTATCGCGATGCCTGGAAACTCTGGCATTGGTTATTAGGGTAGACAAGACCCCAAAATAAACCACCGCAAAATGTTCTACCCTTGTTATGAATGTTTAACGTAATGCACCGATTGCGATGTACGAGCCCGAACACGGGGACAGGTGGATGCAGTCACACACCCAATGCGAGCATCCTGCATGTCGATTTCCGTAGGCAAATGTATTTGTCGAATCCATTACTGAATGCTCCATTCATAGACTGGCTCACCAGCCTGTTTTACTTTGCGCTGGGAGGGTCCATTCCAATTGTAACCCGAGGAAAGGCGTGGGAACCTCTCTCCTGTGACTTTATAGTGGCCCGTGGCCATCCCGACTCTCCGCAATCTGCAAGTGTCTTATAGCCACTAGAAGGGAATATTTTCCACCCGTGTTGTCACTGCAAAAGCCTCTTTAAAAGCAGTCAACGCACGTGTAACTTATGGCATTTTTAATGGATGCTATGGATGTGTTAATGTGTAATCCCACCAAAGTGATTTCAAAGTCCGATTCAGACCTCAAGAAGGAAAAGGTTACCCACTTCGTGCCTTAGAACACAACTTTTGTCCAATGGCAAACCACTTGGCTGCAGTATTCGAGGCTGCCGATGATTTATTGTTGGCAAGTGGCGCAAACCAGGGGGGCTATGGTAAGCGCACCCAGCAGCCGAAGACGGCAACAGCGCCCTTGTGCCAATTCCTCTGCCTCCCTCTCTTACACAACTTGCCACGTGGTAGTGCAAGCATGCCTTAGTAGGAGGAATATCACAGACATGAAACGGCATTTGCTTTGGGGCAGATAAAGCCAAGGCTATTCAGCAGCAAGGGTAGACGGGGGACTTGAACAGCGTCACTTACAGGTCACCACAAGCAGCAGGCGAGGGGCAAGCCCGTGCCTGTGGAGACGTCCGCTTTCATCTCACCTTCTCCTGTTTGGAACAAAAAAGGTTGGAAGATTTTTTCAAACAAGCCTCGTGCATCGATCCACTGCTGCACGAGTTGACTCCCAATGCGATACAGGTCATTTGACGATCAGTCACCATGCTGGTCAGTAAAGTTTGGGTGCATCGATGTTCAAAGCATAATACAGCACTATGATTGCACTGCCCTTAGATAATTATAGACGTTAGTGGTATGTTGATTCGAGTAACACTTTAAATTTGAAAGCAAGGAGTTAAATGCCATCCCACATTAGCAACAATCAGGTATAGACCAGTTAACAGGAGTGTAAAATAATTCCCACACTGGTGGATTGACCCACGAATAAGAACCTATTAAACATGGCCACGAAGTTGACTGGAACTCACTCACACCTTTTAACACATCTCTAGAGGGGGCATTTGAAGTTTGTAGTTTACATTGGCAGGTCTTAAGAAAACGAATGAAAGGTAAAAACGTGAGCCGAGCACACTACAATCAGTGTGCCCATGTCAAGGAATGTACAAGCATCCTGTGTGAAATGCATCGAGTCCAAGCAAACGGTTCAAAGTTGGAACACCACCTTGCTAGAATTCATCGTCTGAACGAATGGTTCCTCACTTTAACAAGGCGAAAGGTCCATGCACAGCAATTTATGACAAACACAGCAAGCCAGGCAGACACGAGTGAGTGGCATGCCATTCCTTGCTCGAGGAGCTTGCAAGGAAATGTACCAGTGCTTGAGGATGGAACCAGAAGAGGGAAGCCTCTGACACCGAAGGCATAGCAATGGGCGACACTTTACCTCCGTACATTACACGGGCGCACACCACACAGCGCGACCATGCCAAGAACTAGAGGTGCCCTCCACAACCCAACGACAAAGATTCGCTACATTCCTCCCCGTTAGGATACAATAGGACTTAGTCCCCATTAACCATAGCCATAAACATGCAGGCCATAGGTCACACTCGTAGCTAAAGTGTACTCGGAATGTTCAGCACAGGCTGTAACGGTGGAGCATATTGGCAAACTCTGCAGATGGTAACATGTCCGTACCGGCAGAAATCCTCTTGCAACTTGAATGGACATTGTTCGTCATCGTACAAAGACCATTTTCAACCTGGAAAGCAAAGGGAGGAAAACAATCAAGTATTGCAAAAATGTCGGTAAATAAACATTTATTTATCCTCAAAATTATCGTTAAGTCACAAGACCTTTTCAGCAAAGTCCCCACATCGTCAATCAACTGGTAAGTATTGTGGTCAACACGCTCGGCTCGGCATTGGTAGGTCGAGATTTCCAAAGGCAAATTATGGAAAAAACTAAAACATTTATATTACACCGACAGTGGTGTAGAAGCACGAGAAAAGACTCCCATTATCAGTACCACTTTACCATCATCAACTATGTAAATGCATAACCAAAATAGATATATACGAGTTTTTTTATGCAATGGGGTGGCTTTAAAACAGAAGGTCTAGGGCTTGAAACACAAATCTTTCATAGGTCAATTAAAAGCAGGGTTTGTTTAAAACTCTACTTAGCTTAAAGAAAACGAGTAGCTACTACTACCATCCACAATATGGGGAGATACCTCGTCTCAAAGTACACGCCTGCCATAAAAGACTGTGCAGACCAATAGGTGACCTATACCACACTGTACAAGGCAAAAACGCGACCCACAGCAATTGCTGGTCAACATGATGGCAAGCTAGACAGACACGAGCGAGTGGGACGCATCTCTTGCTCGAGGAGCTTGCAAGGAAATGTACCAGTGCTTGAGGATGGAACCAGAAGAGGGAAGCCTCTGACACCGAAGGCATAGCAATGGGCGACACTTTACCTCCGTACATTACACGGGCGCACACCGCACAGCGCGACCATGCCAAGAACTGGAGGTGCCCTCCACAACCCAACTACACGATTTGCTACATTTCTCCTCCCAGCTCAGACACTATTTTTATTATACCAGGCAAGGTCCACGGAGCTTTATAGCTCTTTTTCAGAAGCTACTCGGCCACAAATGATACCTATACAAAGTGGCTTAACAATCAATGAGTCCCATTTACCCAAGGTCATGTACGTGCACTCAGAATGTTCAGCACAGGCTGTAACGGTGGTGGACATTCCCAAAACGTACTGGCAGATTTTCTTGCAACTTGAATGGCCTCTGTCCATTACCATTCAAGCACCATTTTCATTCTGGAAGAGGGAAAAGAGAGCACAATTCATTAAGGGATTGCAAAATACAGCCAAGTAACATTTTACGAGTCCATAAATACACGACCAAGTCAAAAGACCTTTTCAGAAACGTTCTGCATCATAATTCAACCAAATGGCAGTGGTCATCACACTGCGACTCGCTATTGGATTTGTCGATATTTCCAGTTACAATGTATACACAACAGAATATATCCCAAGATTACAGTGGTATACAGGCATGAGAATACCCACGATTATCATTATGACCTTACCATTATCAACTCCACTAAGGGATGGCAATACGGTAGACCCAAAATAGAGATATATTGGTAGTTCAATGAAATAGGCAAAATGTCTCGGGACTGATGCACCATCTTTTTACAGCCCAGCTAAAAGCAGCGTTTTTTTTTACATCTGTTATTAACTTGCACAACAAAGCAACATAGGCCATACGAAACAAGACGACGAAGGAGTATTACTTCTATTAGTAGGTTTTTACCCTTTAAACTGGTACAAAACTGACACCTTTATACAAGGCATCATGTTTGCAATAACCGCAACACAAGCAGTCAAAATGCAAAAAAAAACAACTCTGATAATGGAGGTCTCATAGAGTATTACTTCTATTAATATGTTGAAGTGGACACCAGAAGCCTTAGGTGGGTATTCCTCTCCTCAGAGAAAAAGCAGTGAAATCACGCGTGCGGCGACATTGAAGTCCCTTCCACGGGTCCACACAGAAAGACTCTGTGGGGCCCGCATAACAGGACAACCTGCGCCGTGCGCTCAGACCAAATGCCTTGTGCAATCACATCACAGGAGAGGCAGTTTGCCCATGGCTCTCGATAGCGCTAGCATATCATCGTACTACAAAAGCTGGCTTTGTCTAATAGGCGAGCGTGTATTACCGATGTTTTTTTCTCTTCAAAAATTGTGTTTAGACTTACCACGTCATTGTACGGTTGGTCCACAAACCCAGGATGCAGATCCATTACATCACCTCACCCAGGACAGCTTAACACCCACTGCAAATGAGAGGCCACAATTACTCAAGCCACAAAATACAGCAATATGAACATTAATTTTAAGACTATTTTTGTTGATAAAGGGAAAATAGCAAGTTTAGCGCCTCAAGGGTATGTTGCAGGATGATAAAGATACTTTTCATACGCAAAAGTAGACCTATAAACTTTTTCATGTTCAGGTTGTAGTACCTGGTTTGTTTTGGCATGTCTGGGAGTTTCTTCAAGAATTGAACATTCAATTATACATTAGGCAACATTGTTTTTAAAGAAGTTCCTAACACTCGGGCCAAAACGTCAGACAACACAAAAACACATTGGAGCCCTATACATAGTCCAACCACAAAAACCTATGTGATTGCATTGGAAATGTTGCACGATGAAATGTAACAAAGAAAATCCAAGCAATGTGCCAGTGCATGAGGATGGAACCAGAAGATGGACACTCGCTGGCACCGAAGGCATAACTCTGGCGGTTACTCTGCCTCCTTACATACCACAAATGCGCACCGCACAGCACACTCATGCCAAGAACTGGAGGTGAACGCACTACGTTTCAGTCACACCAAGAAACCTAATATCAGCTGCACTGCACTCCGGCCCCAACTGTGTGGGGTAGCTACTACTTATTACGTTCTCGTGACGGAAGACTGCGTTACTCCCACTCGAGCGTAGCTTGTGAATTTCAAGCAAGCCATGTCAGTGGCACACAAAAGTCGTCTTTCTCCGCAACCAACTTTCCTTTTCCTCCCGAGTCACAAAACAATGCTCGGCCATCAGCTGCTGCACTGCCGACCGTGCGGGGCCTGGGAGATCTGGATTCCCTATTTACACTCGAGCACTTTCAGGTAGTCGGCATGTCACCGTGGGGCATCTTCCACCTGACTGTCGACAGGACTCCATAGATTTCTGGTGCAGTCTGGTCACTGGCTGCCAGAGACTTGGCTTTTACAACTGCGTGGGGTTTGGCTTTGGGCTGCAGGGGTCTACGGTGCATTGGGATAATGAAACTCATGCTTCCCGTGGTAAATTAATGCCTTTCCTCACCGCCCATCAGGTGGCTCGCCATCATGCGCACCACCTCGACCATAGGCTTGTTGGGTTATCTGCTTGCAGAGCCATGCGTAGAAGTTTTAAATCACCTGCTTCTGGTTGCTCTCCAAGGATCTGCCGCTGGGCCACTTCTGAAAAAACTTAACCAGCGACGGCGGAACGGCATCGCGCTGCTGAAGGCACAGCCATTTCACCTGCAACAGCAACGCAATAAAAACAGTGTGGTAAATTGTACCGCTATTTTTGTAATGCACGCACATTGTAGTCATGCACAGCCATTTTGTCAAGCTACTGGAAGATGAGTATCCATGCAATTCATGTTAATATCACGTGTAACGTCACCATGCTGCAGTAGTACAGTACATTAATTTGCACGGACCTCTGCTGCACACCACGTAATCGTAACTGATTGCGATATTTTACGAGTTCACTGCATCCACACCAGTTTTCCTTCAGACTCAAACACTCGGCAAATTGTATATTTGCCATAGCTTGATCAGATCAACACACCAGCTTTTAATATAACAAATATTTGCAATAACTGCAACTCCTTGTCAGTTCACGACCATGTATGTAATGCATCCGGTTTAAAATATTGCATGCCCACGACACCTCTACATCAGCAAGCCACGTGGTGAGTAGCAGAGCACAGTTCAGCAAAAAAAACAATTGTTGTATGGAATGTTTCCAAATCAACTCCCATGCCATTACCAAGTCGCACTGACCAGCATGGTGAAGTATGAACAAACCCCACCCCCCCGCACCATGACCTACATCAGCGTGAAAGGGCTGGGCCATGTACGTGTATTTAAGGTGCAAGAAATCCATCCGGCTACAAAATTCCGCCTACCACGAGTTGGATATTAAATGTTAAATGTGATTTGCTCAGGGTGGCAGAGGCCCGAGAATGCGACGGCCACGTGTTACTTTGCCACAGAGTGATAGGTTCCAGACAAGCATGGTCGGTTTTAGTGCCGTTGCCAGGGATTTATTCAAAAGGTCGCTGTACTTCTCTATACTCCACCCCCTCTACTCTCTCCACCTTCACAACACCGCATTAGATCAGCCAGGTGAAGCATGGTCATCAGTCTTAGGACCTGTAGGCCGTGGGGAGGGGTCCATCCTAGCAGCACGTTCACAAATAACTTTAGCCGAACAAGTGCTACTTATTAAGATTCGGAGTCACTGCGTTGGCAGTGGTGCACAAGCAACAAAAATATCGCATTCGTCAAAAATAACAATGCCATTGACGTGCTTTGAAGGGTCACAGTGCGAAACGTCGCCCAATTACATATATTTACTGTTCCGGCAGGGTTATTAACAATGCGTTGGGTTTAAGAACGTAGCCTTTAGATAATATTTTAATGCAAGGCACTGGCATGGCATCTGCATAAAGGGTTGCAGGAACAATGAAGCATCTCCAGGTTACGTTTGCACGTTCAGCCATTCAGCCTTTGTCAATCCAGTGCTGGGATTTGACCATACTTCATCACGTTGGTCAGTGCGGATTTGATTAGAGGCCAGAAGCACATACAGTAAACATGGGACTGTTAAATGGCCATAACCGATGGTGCTGCACTGCCCTCTGCATGCATGTTTAACTTCTTTCGCACCGTACGTCGCCAACGTTTCCACCTACCAGGCTCACGTGGCAGCCACATTATCATCATAATGGTCATGGAGGTAGCCAGCCAAACGCTATCCAGGCCGAAATCCTAAGCTTTAAAAATCCGGCGCAATTCCGTGCGATTTGGCAATTGGCTCAGTTTACATTAGCCCATTTAAACTATTAGATCGACAAAAACAGTTACCAATAAAAGTATTATCCACAATCACAGACTCTGCATTTAAGCATTGCGGCTTTACAAACGCATTAGTCGCCTGTGCGACCACATGCTCAAATCAATCAGCGTGTCACGGAGCGCCAATCACTTGCACCACCGCTCACGATTACAATTAAAATAAAAAATGGAGATTGCATACGATGGACGACAACCTCCCGCATCCCGTGCGGTGATAATTTTAGCAAGATGCAGCGAGTAACGAAGCGGATGGATGCGGATTGCAGCTGCGCCGTACCTTGCCGACCAGGGCCTTGAAGTCCCAACCGAGAAGGGAGTGTCAGCCACCCTGCACATTTATATATACACGCGCCGCCCGCCGTGACGTCATGTCACCAATGACGTCATTGGCAATGGAGTCTCGCAAGTGAAAATGACGTCACCGCCCAGTGTGACGAACTTCAAACAAACTTTGTTTTAATCTGGATTTGAATCTAGATTTTCTCTAAATTTAGATTTGAATCTAGATTTAGAGAAAATTTTGTTTTAGCTATGAGAACAACGGAAGTAAACGTGTGAAAATGTTACTTTATATTTATTTTAAAACATGTAATTGGGTTGGAAAGTTTACAAAAATGTCTCCACGTGAGTAATTAGCGTTGTACAGGGTGCTCCAAATGTCTTGTGACCCACAATTAATTGAAACCCTAACATTTTCTGTTTTAAGTCAACCTTATAACGTAATTAGTTTTAGATAATTGTTTTTTTACTCTTCTATCTGGCAACAAAACTGACACCTTTTTTTACAAGGAGTCATGTTTACATAGACCACAATACCTGCACCAACCCATGTGACCAATCTAAGGAAAGCTGTCTCGGGTGTGGACCAATCAACTTCGAGGACAGTGCATACATTATCAGAGTTGTGTGTTTTGTTTGCATTATGACTGCAGGTAGTGTGGTCTATGTAAAAATGACTCCTTGTAAAAAAAGGTGTCAGTTTTGTTGCCAGATAGAAGGGTAAAAAACCAATTATCATATTTTTATTGGCAAATGAGGTTCCAATGGTAGTTTTAGATAATTAAATGGCATATGCACCACCCTGTGCGATAATGTCATCAGCCTATCCGCTGCTGGACAAAGGCCTCTTCCGCGTCTTCGCCATTAGCAGATAAGCAATACAGGACGAACTTTATCCAAAATCCATCTTAAACATCGTGAATGTATCGACTGCATATTGTTTAGGATTGGAGCGATGCCGCAGTGGTTAATCGATTATGTTATCGAGGGTGACCTCAGTACGATCTCTCGCCATCAGTGGCAAATGATATTTGGAGGTGGTCTTTAACTGGGATTGTAAACGTTTACTTTTCGTGCTATATAGCCCCTCTGTAGAGCATAAGAGGATATACAGGGTGCTTTAACTTTTTTTTAACACTTATACTAGACTATCGTTTTTAATTCATCCCACTGGGATTTTTGCACACAGCGTTGAAATGCGGTGTTTTTTTCTGGAAGACTTTTCTGTTTTTTTCCAGGATTTTTCTGTTGCGTGTAGTCACTTTAAGCTGTTTCTTGTTCATGTTTTTTGTTGCGGTTGCACCCGAGTCAAGAGCCGCATGGCTTACAGGGTTATACCGAAGCCGGGTAGTAAAGCTAGTACCAAATAAATGAAATTTAACTGAAACAAACGAATGCACTTTAACATGGTAACAAATGCAATGTTAAGAGCTTCAAAAAGTCAGTCTCGACTTGTTCGCCATCGTTGTCAACACGTGCCTGGAATCTTCTCGAGGTGGTCTCCAGAGCCCGGGAGGCACATTTTTGTGGTATTGTTGCAAATTCTCAGAAGTGTTAAACTTTTTACTGGTAGGAACCTCCTGGTTACACCAGTCCACAGGGGATTATTCTGTCAGTCCGTCGTGCATCTAAAAATGGGAGGGGTGGGGCTGGGTGGGTAGGGTGGGGAGGGGCTGGGCTGGGTGGGTAGGGAGGGGCTGGGTGGGGAGGGGAGGGTGGGGGAGGTGCTGGGTGGAGAGGGTGGGGAGGGGCTGGGTGGGGAGGGTGGGGAGGGGCTGGGTGGGGAGGGGCTGGGTGGGGAGGGGCTGGGTGGAGAGGGGCTGGTCACCCCGTGGTGCCCTTATAAAACTCAACGTTTAACCTACTCACGCCGGCTTGTGCCCGCCCTCAGTCGGGCATATTTGCGGAATACACCACGCCGCCGTTGACCCTGGCCATTGACCGAGCAACCCAACGTTCCTACCAGCTCCTTCCACAGGAATGTGCTTTGAAGCACACTCGATATTGTAAAAACACATGTTACATTGTTGCGTTCACATGCAGTTTTTAATTGAGAAGTTGTATATTTGTAACTCGCTCATCACATAAATAGTTTTCACTCGCAATTCAAACCCAGATTTTCTCCCGTGAAGCCCCCCAATGGTGTTTTATTAGCGTACACGTATTTTGGTAAAAATCGTAACATTTATACAAGCACAATTTGCCGTCTGTATTGTGAGTATACGACAATTTTGTCCCCTAAATTTATGTTTTTATAAATATTTGGTGACAAGGGTACTGCCGCGTTGCAACAACAAAAGCACATTCGTATTCACAGTGGCCTTAAATGGAAGATGAGTAATATATAACAAGTGACGTTTAGGGCAATTGCCCTCTTAACAGCGTTCCCGTCTCCTATAAAGCAGGGCCATTATTCGAAACGTCTTCTCGCCTTTTAAGGTGACAGTGTTCAGTAACGAATGCTTCGCCATGCTGTTGAGTCGAAGGCCCTGCCCTGGTCTCAGACCCACTGCTGGGTTGCCTGACTGTACCCTGAGCCCCACGTGTTGGCAATCACCCCGCGCATGCGCAATGCGCGGGCCATGGATCAAGCAGTCGTGGTTGCGTCATCCTGACAACACGCATGCGCACTGCGCGCACGCCTCCACAGCTCCCCTCCCCCCCCCCTTTCCCCCCCCCTGCCCCCCCAGCCCCCCCCCCCTCCCCTCCCCCCCCCCCCCGCCCCCCCTCTCCCCCCCCCCCCCTGCTCCTCCCCTCCCCCCCTCCCCTTGCCCCTCACCCCCTGCCCCCCCTCTTCTCCTATCCCCATTCCCCCTCCACCCCCCCTTATCCCCTCCCACCCCCCCTTATCCCCTCCTCCTACCCACCCTTATCCCCCCCTCCTACCCACCCTTATCTCCCCCCCTCCTACCCACCCTTATCCCCCCCCTTATCCCCTCCCACGCCCCCGTATCCCCCCCCACCTCCTTCATCCCCCTCCCCCACCACGTGGTGCCCAGACACGTGGGAGAAGGCGCCGCCAGTGGTCAGCGGACCGAGCACTTTCAGAACGATTCCCGTCTAAGACAAAGCTCCCCCGTGTAGCCTTCACAGACTCTTGGGGGCAAGTGCTGTCAGCGAGCACTGATAAAGGCCGGGCACGGCACACGAGTGGGTGGGTTGTTGTGGCGAGCAACACGCCCGGACGCCTTTATTGGACCAATATTTTACACGGGGATGGCAGCGGTATCGATTCGAATGCGATTCCTGAAATCAACTCGTTCCCAGAACTGTCTTATATAAGATTCATTGCGATGATTGCCGGTCACGCATATCGAATACATATGCGAATCAAATATATTTAAAAACAGCAAAGCGGACATCCGTGTCTCCGCTTAAAAAAAGAAAAGATTACACAATCTATCAGCCGCACAAGCCTTGTTAGGAGTGCATAATTACAGAGTCATTGACCCAAGCGAGTCACGGTCGTTTATAGCTCTGAAGTATTGTGCGTGTAATTAATTGCATTCTTATTGATTCAAGCAAACTGGGCCGGTTTCGACAAACTATCAAATCACCAATCAGGCTTGCTGGAGTCAATGCTAGTGAGCTGCCAGATGTTATTTATATGTACTGTATGTTGAACTTCTTTCGCACCGTATGTAGCCAATCGTCCAATCGTACTAATCGGCAAGGGACCTCAAAGATATGGGTTCAAACGATTATCAGTGTTTTTGAGAATATCAATAACCCAATTAAACATTACTTTGCGTTAGATTCTGCCTTAGCAGTGGTGCGCAAGCACAGATACGCTCAACACGTCCTTAAATACCACTGCATTAAGAGTGGCGTGTAAGAGGCAACGTTTCGGGTAATAGCCCGATAGTAAGTAGTGATGTGGGGATAGTAGGTCGTGAATCTGAATCTTTGTCCTGGAGGAATCTGATAAGATACTTTATCACAAACGTCCAGTCGAGGCGGGTCAGTAAACTACAGTACAGTGAAGGACAGTCATAAAGAGACAAGTTTAGCAAGTAACTTAAACAACCAATATAAATAAATCATGGCAGTACAAATTGCACTAGTGCATATATTCCTGCTTATTTGTCAAGATCAAATCTCTATTGTTTGGTAGTCCTTTGTTGATCAAGATCAAATGTAAACTTGGGAAATGCAGCAAAACAACAAGACCACACCAAGACAATAGAGTCCCTCGATTGCTTTTCACTTTAGTGTGGTTGATGGGGGCCAGAAGAGGTTGCTGGACGACTTCGTGACTCCGAAAACTCCCTTTTAGAACAACAGTAGTGTATAATGAGAGGCAACAAACTAGTTCAACAGGCAATGGTGGGTGGACAAAGCTGCTTCTGCCCGCACGCGTGGTGTAGAGCCCCGTACATACCTGTCACCCCGTATCAGTGCCAACCTTATTGATCACCCCGTGCCCTTATACATCTCAACGTTCATCCTACAAAGTCCCATCACAAGGGAGAAACACAAACAAATAGACAATCATTGTGTTTGCCCCTATTGAAACGGCTGTATGCCGTATAGACCTGAAAACTCAATTTCCCTGTACAAGAAGAATACGGGGTAAACCGCATGGGTTGACACGGTATGACATCTCAACTTTCATTCTATAAAGTTCCACCACAAGGGAGAAACACGAACAAATAGACAATAATTGTTTTTGCCCGTATTGAAACGGCTGTATGCCGTATAGACCTGAAAACTCTATTTCCCTGTACAAGAAGAATACGGGGTAAACCGCATGGGTTGACACGGTATGAAATCTCAACTTTCATTATATAAAGTTCCACCACAAGGGAGAAACACAAACAAATAGACAATAATTGTTGTTGCCCCTATTGAAACGGCTGTATGCCGTATGAACCTGAAAACTCAATTTCCCTGTACAAGAAGAACACGGGATAAACCACATGGGTTGACACGGTATGAAATCTCAACTTTCATTCTATAAAGTTCCACCGCAAGGGAGAAACACAAACAAATAGACAATAATTGTTTTTTCCCCGTATTGAAACGGCTGTACGCCGTATGGCCCTGAAACCTCAATTTCCCTGTACAAGAAGAATACGGGCTAGA